ACCGCGGCTTCGGTCAGAAACAGAGTAGTTTTGTCAGCAAGAATCTGATACTCTCACTCGCGCCACCCAGAGTGGGAGAAACCAATTAATGATTTTCCCAGCCCAACAAAAAAATAGACAGGTTAAGGTACATAAAGGCGAAAAATATTTGTATTTTACCAGTTTTGTCATTTCCCTTAATGAGTGGCAAACAAAACATTTATATATTTATTTAAATTGATAATGTACCAGAAATGAGATGCGTCTGCGGCCACCAAACTTGCGCGTCTTATCTTTCACGAAAGAGCGACCTTTGGGAATGAGCTAGAATCGTCTTGTTTTGTACAAAATTAACACGAACAGATTAATCGTGAAAGCGTTGTCAAATATAGGTAGTAAGTAAATAAGACATTATATATCTACGTGACTGTATTTCACTTAATCACCCATCACTAGAAAACGACAAATTCAGGCCGCTTTTTAAAAACAAAATCTGTTACATCATGTCTTTATCATAACTTAATAAACATTTATTTTCTTTATACAAGTGAAGTGATAGTGAAATAATTCAATTATGTAAGTCTTCCTTACTCTTTTTCTCCGAATGGATACTTCCGTAATGTAGCTACGTGAGCCCCACCACGGTACACACACGCTTTGTTCTTGAGGCTAACGTCTTGAAGGCGATTAGTAATGAGATCGTCAATAAGAACCAGTAAGAGGTCGCTTCACACCGACACTCCGATATCAGTCACCTATTGAACCGCGGCCTATCGGACTGGTAATAACTGGACAGCAGCCGCGGCAGGCGGCTTCTGATAACGCTCCCACATACACACGATCCTACGTGAGTTCCACGATACAACACGCTCAAGCAAAATTGAGTCTTATTGCATGAAATTTTTAAAACCAAAAATTTTCCAAAAATCCCTTAATACTTCTCTAGACGAAGATAAATGAATTTAAAGGTAAGAAAAAAAAATCCGTGAAATGTATGGAGGTATCATGTTCGCGGGGGACTCGTCCTCTTATCAGCGCGTTGTCACTCGTAGACGTTTTATAAGTAGGCGACACGAGCGGCTGCCATCATTGTCCGTAGCGACCGCGCGGTGACCACAACTACTTTTTATTTGTAACTATTTATTTAGTGAACAGTGTTACGTATTTACAATGTTAGTGTTTCCGGCTTGGAGATCGGATTTGCCCCGCGACGGGTGTAGGGTGCCAAGGTGGATGCCCGCCGAGAGATTCGCGCCATATTTCGCGAGAACTGTAGCTTTGCCACCACATCCACCACAGGTGCGGATCTTTTTAGAAAAAGCAAATATTTTTATTTGTAAACAAAACTTTATTCCTGTTTTTTTTTTTTTGAAATTTGTTTAATAATGATATTTTATTTTTGCAGTTTGAAGATGAGGATTCGTCTGGTGGATCGTCCCCCGATAGAGCGTCTACTGACGCGGTTGAGAACGCGGAGGGAGTGTGCCAGTGGCGAGGGTGCGGCGCGCACTTCCCGAGCGTGGCGCGACTTTCCGCGCACGTCGCACGCGCACATGCGCTTGCACACAGAGACGGACTCTTCTACTGCGGGTGGAAGGGATGCACAAGACCACAAAGAGGATTCAATGCACGGTAAGTGTCCCACAAAATAATCTTCTTTAAAAAATCAAGTAAATATTAAATTTCTTACAAGCTTTTTACTACGAGTATTATGTTACTTACCTATGCATTTCTCAACAGTTACAAAATGCTGGTCCACGTGCGAACACACACAAATGAACGTCCACACACCTGCAACCAGTGCAATAAGAGTTTCTCCAGAGCAGAAAACTTGAAAATACATCTCAGGTCACATTCTGGAGAAAAGCCCTACGTCTGTCCTTATGAGGTAAATATCTAGATAAATTAATTTCATGAAAAACACATATTATTATGTACCTTCTTCTTACATTTTACGTCATTGGTTTTGTACTACAATTGTTCTAATTTGTTATTTTTTCTACCAGGGTTGCGGCAAAGCATATTCTAACTCCAGCGACAGATTCAAGCACACAAGAACACACGCTGTAGAGAAGCCATACTGCTGTAAGGTCCCCGGATGCAACAAGCGTTACACAGATCCATCCAGCTTGAGAAAGCACGTGAAGACATACAAACATTACACAACAGAACAAAAGGCACGACAGGAATCATCGGATGAAGTGTACAGTCCAGAGACGTACTCACCTACAAAGGAAAATAGCTCTTCGTATACAGTCATAGAGCCCACATCACCGTTACACGCCAGCAGAGTGTTCAACGTGCCCGTCAGCTCTCTATCCCCGACATTACCGACATACTCGCCGATGCTGGCAGATACCTCCGTCCCTACAACACTGCCGTACTCGCCTATGGACCAAGTTACATACATCAGGCCTCTTGAAACCCTCTATCCAGTGAGAATCCCGACAAATGAAATGTCCTACATGGAGTATACGCAAATGTACGAGCATGCGTACAGAAACTACTACTCCAGTACACTCTCATACCCACCTTTGGGACCAAGTATTAGTGACAAAGTATTTACTTACGAGGAGCAGCCTCGCGTCGAAGAAGTGTCCGTCAAGAACGTGGCGGAGAGCCCTAAAATGTACAGTGCAATGGACGAGGACATGCCTCTCAACCTTATTTGCTCAAAACGACGAGATTACAAAACTATTGAAGAACTAGTCAGACGCACAGACTTACCTTTAGATTTAAGTACTAAGAGTTAATATTTATTTTGTAATAAAGTATTATAAAGCGCTTTTCTGATTTTCATTCATTTCAATAGACACGGGTACAAAGTCTACAACAAATATTAGCACCTGTTTGATATTGTTCATCATATTCAGCACATCTTTATCACAATACAAACACAGTACCTACCTACGTGACGAGACACACTTGCTTATCTGATGACAAAAACTTGAGTTTACACAAAATAATATTGTACAGGGTGAAGTTTTTAAACGGATGTTCTACATGGTCACTTTTGGAAAAAACATTCAAATCTATCCCAGCAAGCTTCAAGAGGATACAGTATCAGTATACAAAAAGGATTTAAAAACAAGTTTATTGATTTGAACAACGAATTAATATCGATAACCTTGTATTGCAGACAGACAGACAGATCGATGCTTCAAGTCGCACTATCTTTTTACAAGGGTACTTGTACTTTAATCTGTTGCGTTTATGCTTTTGGTTGTTTTATCAGAACTGTAACAAAATTGTTAGCATCGGCCTTTTAGCAACTAGGTTGGGGTCGAGTCGATAACCAGTTGCAACTGGATTTTAGCAACTTAGTGGAAACTTCTGATGGCCCTTTGCAACGTATATAGAAACCGACTTCATAAAGTTTTCTTCTATCACTTTATTATGCATAATAGAATATATCTTGATTATAAGCTTTCCTGAGACTAATTTAAAATAAGATATAATTACCCTGCAGTTTCTGGTATTAGTAGATAAATAATTAAAATCGAGTTTAACATCATATTATAGAGGCCCAAGTATCTCCATTATAGAACATTGGACTAAATCAAATAGACGATAATAATAATAAGTAAGACGACTTCTCACTTGAGACGAATAAAAATTAAAATAGATTATGTGTCTGTCATGATAATATATAAAAGTTAAACTTCCTAACATTTTCAAATCTATTTTTATGGAACAGGAGAAAGCAGATTTCCTGAAGGTAAGTGACCAGCATCGCCAGGGCCCCTTATTGGACATCCGCTACACTACACCTGAGAACTTGAAAGAGTTGAAAGTGCATTTGGAAAGGAAACCTCACTCTTTTTGTTTGTGAGCTTGTCGCATTAATTCGGTGTAACCGAGCTTATTTCGGAGTTTTCAGCGCAAAAATGCATTCTAAAGTGGAAATGAATAAAAATTAGAACTATGGTACGCAATCGATGCAATTAGAAAAAAAAACAATTCTAGTTAATAAGTAATAATTATAAAATAAACATATCAACAAGCTGAAGCTGATATTCCAAATAGATTCCAAGGTCAGTTGGTAGTCTATAGGTAGTTTCCAACTAGTCAAATTCAATACTTTTATCCAAATGTCAAAAACGATACTTTTCTATGAATTTGTATAAAAAACTGAGGGCATAGTCTTTGTGGGTCAAATAGTTTACTTTTTTCTTAAAAAATATCTAAAATTCGATGTATTGGTCGATCGATAAATAAAAGTGTAGTTATTTTTCAATATTTTATTGTATAGAAACGTCGTATTGTTTATTGAAACAATGAAACAAACAATGTCGACAATATTTTTATTGATTATTTTGTTTCAGTCTTTTTTTATGTGATAGAACGGCAAAAGAGCAGGCGTATTATCTGATGGTAAATCATCGGCGCCGCCCGTAAACACCCGCAGTACCAGAACAGTTACGAATGCGTTACCGACTTTTTGGATATTAGAGATTCAAAGAAGTCAAGGGATGGACCTCAGTCTTTTTATTTTATTAATTTTAGCAATAAAATTTAATAATACAAACATTATGGTATTTTCGTAAAAAAGATAAATATCAAGGATGTATTACGAACTTTGTATTATTTGTTGATTTCTATCAATAAAGTACGACGGATCAAAGGTGGAATTATTGTTAACCGGAAATCGGTCGCTTAATACGGATACAATTAACCGATAAATTTAATTTAGGAATCTTACTCATTACAATAATTATTATAAACACAAAAGTAACTCGAATCAACTTTATTCAATACTTATTACTACAAGTATACAAAAATAGATAACCAAGAAAAAATATTTTGAAAACAATACATTTGTTACTAATATGTCAAAATAATTACGGAATTCTTTTAAGGATATTTATTATTTAACAATAAAATCCATTATTTAGAAAAGACATTAAATAATTACGAAAAAAAATCAATACTTTTCTTTAACCTTTCCTTATATTTTTGAATTAAAATTCAATTTTTATTGTACAGGGAAGGGATGTGCCGATTTTTATTTTAATGATATCAAAAATAACAGAATAAATATGCTACCACTTAGGCTCGGACAAGCCGCGACATGCCTTCAGCAATTGTTCCGAGAGCTGCTAAGTCCTTACGGGCAGTATCCAATAGATGAGCCATGCCCTTCTGCTGTAGAGACAAGAACTGCTTCACGTCTTCTTGTGCACCTACAAATAAAACAAAAAACTAATGACGTTTTGAAGAAGAATTGTCGGTACCTCTGCCCTTTCCACGGGTCTTGTAAAGGCTAACTAAGGATCTGTAAATTTAACAATGACCACAGCCCTTTCATATTATATTGGCACACAACTCGCACTCACAAACAAAATTAATACATGCAATACAGCTATTGACTTAGCTCTCATTATCTAGTTTGCTCAAGTAGGTTTAAAAGTCTCTAGCAAGTATGTGTAACATTAAAAGGTACAAAATTGTGTGTTATTTAGTAAAAAATATTGAAAACAAACGACGGAGGTAAAATATCTTACCAGGATCCAGATGGTACCGCTCATGCGACGCCCCTGCGCTTGCGCTGCGCTGCAGTCGTACCGCGCATAACAACTCGTTCAGACGACCCTACACAAAAACAAACTTCATTTTAAGTATAGTTTTTAATTACGTAGGTGAACTTAATGCCATAGGAATCCTCAACAGACAACCTTAGGGTGATGGAAAAAGAGTAATAGTTTAATAAGTTAAACTAAATTGTCTGTCTAATTAGACATAGTCTTTGCCTATGTGGTTCGTCTATCGTGGCTCTCAATTAGAAGGATTTACTTTTTACAGCTTTTTCTATGCCACTCATTAAAAGTCTACATGAAACATAATAGAGTATGTTATTCGTTTAGAAGACATCTGCAGCTGATGTCAATCTTGAAATTAATTTACAACACAGAGGTGATGTCACGTCATGTCGATCATATTCCTTTGTCAAGCTGTTCTAAAAGAATCCATTTTATTTTTCATTTGTAATACTAGGAATTCTTTTAGCTATGCTATTTCTCTGTCTTTGGAGACATTTCTCTGACATTTAATATATGTTAAAATAAAAACTACACGAAATTTAGATATAAATCGATCCGCCGGTGTTGCGGATCAAGTACCGCGGCCTCGGCTTGGAGCAGAAGGCAGAAGGCAAAAGCAAAAGGGATAGAGGGAGTCTGACATCCCTTTTCGATATACCAAAACCCCTCCCATAAAAAACCAAAAAATCATAAAAGTTATTTACTATGCAAAAACTCATGCTTGCATCGCATATAATACTGAAAGCCTAGGCGTGTCAATACTTTATCTAAAACATCCAGGAGTAAGTTCTATGGGCGAAAATTGTCTGATGTATTGCTATATCACTATATCTATCTTGTCTACTGCGAAGTCACGCACGATTTGTTTCGATATAACACCTTCGCAGTGCGTGATAGAGATGTGGACACAGCGTGATTCTCCTATACCTCCGAGTACACCTAAAACCGATTAATTAATGATAAACTCTACTATCTCGTGGTTTACCCGCACGGGCCGTACGTTTAGTATTAATCGTAGAAATTCGTGAACCAGTTATAACCGGATTACTCGATTAGGCTGACGTATCACTGTCAATTTTGCAATGTTGTGCAATATATAATTTGTTATGGGATTTACTTAATATTTATAGTGCCGAATTTTGTGGTTTTTGACCGATATTTTCAATTATTGTATTTATATCATATTAGTATACTTAAAGTTACGAAGATCAATTTGTAATGTTTTAACGTTAAGTTTTTCTCAAAAATAAGGTAATCATTAGATGAAGAAGGCATCCCTACCCTGGGTGGGGCGTGTTTTTTTTTGTGAGGGGAAAATCATCAAAAGACTTCTCCTGCCCAGGGCCGGGCGGGAGGGAGTGTCAGACTCTTACTGTCTAAAAACCCCCCTGTTCCTTCTCCTGCTCTGGGCCGAGGTTGCGGTGCCTCATTGCGCTTACCCCGCCACTCCGGTGGGGCGTGAGGGATTGTAAACCACCCCCATCCCTCCACCTACTCCGAGCCAGGTCGCGGTACAAAATTGCATCGCTGGTATAAAGGTATGGCTGCCCCAGGTTTAGCAGTCTCATCTTCTTGTACATAAGTGAAATCATCATCATCATCAGCCTATAACTACCCACTGCTGAGCAAAGGCCTCTTCTCATACGGCGAAGGTTAGAGCATTGATCACCACGCTTGTTCAATGCGGGTTGGTGATTTCAAACTTATAATTAGAAATTATAAGTCCAGGTTTCCTCACGATGTTTACCTTCACCGTATGTCAGCGGTGTCTAAATAATCATAGAAAGTACATATAACTCGGAAAAAGTCACATTGGTACTTGTCAGGTTTCGAACCCACACCCTCATGCATGGGAAGCGGGCTCCTTAACCTCCGGGCCACCACGACTATATATTTTACCATAAGTAAAATACTGGTCTAAAAATGATCCTAAATATAACAATAATTAATTGTTCAATAGTTAAAGGGATTAATTTTAAACGAACATGTTATGATTACAGAACTGTTAGTGACAAACTCATACAAATTATTTTTATAATTCAAATATTTTATAAATATAAGTGAATAGATTCCATTTGCTTCTATTTGATTTTATGTGATCAGTTTTAAGTAATCTATGCTCTCTATACTTTGGCGACTAATTAGTAAAATTTACTCAAGAATTTTTCCTAAAACGTCCAACTGTGCCTGTATGTTGAAAGCCTTATAAGTAGTTTTTACCTATTCACACAGAGAGTGGGAGCACGGAAATTCAATGTTTTTAAAACTTTCCTACAATTTTACATAGGTACACATGACATCACACAAAAAGTAATTCCGTGCGGGACTCGAACCCGCGACACGTTACACAGCAGCCCAGCAACTGCTTTAGGTATGCATTCTAATACGTTAATTAAATGTATGTAACCAAAATTTTGTTCATATCCTATACGACAAAGCTTTAGAAACGTGCAATGCAAACAATAATTATGTTTCCCACTGTAAATATACAAAATGATATGAAAATTCATTGTTTTGCCAGAGCCATTTCACAAACATTGACACTAAACAAACAGAAATACTTGCAATATTTCAAAACCCACGTCATAAGTTAAAATAAGACTAGACACGAAAAAGCCTACGAAATCTCTAAAGATACAATAAAAAGACAACCTTATCAATCATGAATTAAGGTAACCATTTTTATCACTATATGTTTTTTGTGAGGAGAATATCATTACATGACTTCTCCCGCCCAGGGTAAGGTCAGAGAGAGTGCCAGACTCTGACTGACTAAAAATCCTTCTGCCTTCCTTATCCTGCTCTAGGGCGAGGCCGCGGTGCCTTATTGCGCTTACCCCGCAATCCTGGCTGAGTCATTATATAGTTGAGCCAGAGGATTAGACATACCCATATGTATCTAGCATACAGTCTGTTACTTTCTCAAAACAAAATGTAAAATAAATGTTTTTTATGAGATCTAAAGTAATCTTATAATCAAATAATCAGTCACTTTGCTGAGTAAATATGTCTAGACCCAAGAAACACTAGAATGTATGATAAAACTGGTGAACTCTTAGTGTCTCTTTGCATAAGTACATTTGTCTGTCTGGTTGCGTGCGCGTGTGTTGACGCACCCAGTTATACCTCGAGACACGCATGTCCGATTTGCGTGACTTTGTTTAAAGATAAATAATATGTAGCCATTAGACTGCTGTTGCTAGTTGATATATAAATTTCATGTTTCATTAACCTTTATTGCACAAGAGTTTAAAAAAGAATTGACAACAATTTCTCACAAGTCATCCCTAGAACCTAAGTGTTATAGAAATGGATGCTAGAAGCTATGATGTAGGCACCTAGGCCATATAGCATGGCTGGAGTTGGAACAGTGTGGTTTTTAGTCAGGAATGGCCCGATACTTTCCTTCCTGCCTTACTCATGGCGGGAAGAGCCATTTTACGATTTTCTACCCTCAAAAAGTAAAGAATCCGATACCGAGTTATGAGAACCCTTGATAATAGTAGAGAGTACAGATGTACTCATACCTAATCAATATAATTCTTGAATTTATATTCTCTAAAGAACTCATGTTAGGCAGTCAAGTTTTTTTTTAATAAAAACTGGCATAAGCATAGGATACATACATAAATGTAAGAAAGCTCTACTAGCTTCAAATCACGACGGTATTCTGATTCATGATGAGCAGCATGGGCGTCGTAGCGACGTGCGTACCCTAGCTATTAGTAGAGCTTTTATCAATCAATTCACATAAGTCCTTATTTTCAATAAATTTAATACGTCTCACGATAGTTACTGAACAAAAATAGTTAAGATTTTCACTAAGTACTTGACCAACAAAACAAACTGTACGTGTAAGGTTGAAAGCAAGCGCAATAAGGTAGAGGCCTAGAGCAGGGGTTTTTAGTCAGTAAGAGTCTCACACTCTCTCTAGCCTTACCCTGGGCGAGAGAAGTCATTTGAAGATGTTTCCCTCACCAAAAATAAAAACACGTGTAAACCTATAGATACTTATACACCGGTTATAACTGAAATCCAGTAAATTCCCGCCAATCAGGTACAAGTCCAACTTTAATACGCAACATTGATATGTATGACGTTGCAAAAATATTATAGAACAATTAATCATAACACCGATACTTATCAGCCACTTATTTAATTAGGATATTTCTAAACCCCCAATCGCGATACGTAACGCCTGAAATTGTTTGAAAAATGACCAAGCATAATAACAATATCATACACATACGTAATCTATAATTGCCAACGGTATATATAGATTTTACATATAAGATATTTAATGATAAAACTCTAGTATCTTGGTTACACTCGTTTCCTGCATGATAATCAAACTATTTCATTTTGATCCAAAGTCACATTTCGAACCGGTTTTCACCAGTAAGGGGATATTTCATAATACTTTTATAGATAGTACTATTCAAACAAGTCGAAAAGATAGCAGGTATTGTTGTTTTATGATAGGTTTATAATGTGTAGACATTGAGTTATTTTTGTTAGAATGAACCGTCTTCTAGTACACCCGCTAGTTGCAAACATGCGAGATCGATTTATGTGTAAGTTATGAAAACATGTAAATTAGCCATAACCAAACACCATTGTTGTTCTTCGTTGGTGTTAATTATTAGTTTATCAACAACAGCGTAACGCCGATATATCTACTCGTGTTATAATACTGTCTGGCGTCTGGAGATAACGATAAGCGTTGATAAGGCAGCACGCGATGGCCGAGTGTTCCTACATTCGGCCAGACAAGGTCACCAAGTACTAAAATTAACGTTGCAATAGTGATAAGCCGTCTGATCCCATGCGATAACAGGCACATGCTAAGTACCGTACGTGTAGATGAGCTACAGATCTACAGATAACAATAATCATGAAAAAACCTTTTTTCGGTGTGTCATGGCCTCCGAATCTATTAGATGTTCTACCGTTTGGAACATTATTTTTTTTGTAATGTCATCAATTTCGTCGGTGATAGAAATAGAAGGTATTGTTATTCATTATCTATATTTTTTGCAATTTTTAATATCGCACCATGTCACCACAGCGTAATATAATTATTGAATGACTAGGCTAACACTGAATTCGTGCTTTTAAATGCGCTAATATTCATAAATTTTCTTAATCCCCTATGAAGTAAACATGACCTCGTACCGACTTCCTGAACTAGCAAATCTTAAAAAAGGAATGTAGCTTATACTTAAAAAAACTTTAAATCGATTCTAAATGTAATTCTGAGATCAGTTTATAGAAAGCTAGCGAACCGCCCAGATTTCGCTACTGATACTAAGTTTCTCCGCTACTTAAAGGATGATATTATAAATATTTATAAACATTCCTTGAACTTAATCACCCTATCTATTCAAAAAACCGCTTCAAAATCCATATAAGCATACATAAGGTTATAGGAACAAAGAAAGCGACTTTGTTTTATATAGTATAAAGTAAGAAAGCGACTTTGTTTTTTTTTGCTTATGTGAATTAACTTATACTATATTATATAGTATAAAACAAAGTCGCTTTCTTTGTTCCTATAACCTTATGTATGCTTATGTGAATTAACTGGGAATTTATGATCGGTTACAGATTGGGACTCATATTGATGAATAAATTTAGTTTGTCTTACGATAATTACTTTGAGGTCATTGTTTAAACATACAAACTCTCTTCAACCTTATGTTTAGTACAAATTAATTCCTTCTTTCCTTTTTTTGTTAGTAGGCATCTATCTTCAAAAGGCGCCTAGCTTTTGGGGGAAAAGACTAGAGAATGTGGGATTGTTACCTCACTAAAACCTCCCTGGTGGCCACCATCAACACCTATGTATAAGGGTCACCGGGACCTCTCTGTTATGGCACATCTCTATCAAGAGATATGTGGCCTTTAGGCCTCACTGCCCACGGCGGTACGTGACCACTGTGTATTCTCTGAAAGCACTCAGTGGGCACCTAAATTCCCCACCCGCTGAGACAGAACGGAGTGTTAGGCGCCGAGGCGGTTGCTTCCTCGATACTTTTTACGAAAGGGATCGACCCTTTCCGGATCCCGTTCGGCAGCCTCTTTTTGGTATTATAGTCTGACAAAAAGAAGCCACTTCCCTCCAATTCTCTGTATATTTTAGCATAGCCTCAATAACAGCTGGAATAGATAGGTTTCCCCGATCCTGGCAACCAGGACCCGCCGTTGAGAGGCTGTGCGGAGTCCGGTACAGTCGGTACAGTCGCAGTGGTAAATCCTACTATCCTAATAAAAATATTATAAATGTAAAAGTTTGTGAGAATACATGGATGTATGCTTGTTTTATGTTGTGTTTTGTAATCTTACACGCAAAAAACGGCTTGACTGATTTGGTTTAAATTTAGTAGTAGTGTAGGTAGTATATAGGCATGATTACCACATAGACTGCTTATTATAAACATAACAAGCAGGCAAAGCCACGGGATCAATTGAACTTAGTACTCTCTAAATAAACGTGAATCTTATAAACACGTATGTACTCGTACAAGGAACGTATAACCATATGAGAACTGACACATCATGATGATGTATCCAACACAGTAAAAAAGGTTGATAACTCAGATAAATATAATTATCACCGCTAATAAATGTATTAAAAAATAATGATACTGTAATGAATAGATTTATGTTTGACAAAAGACATTATGACGTTACAATTTAGGAACCTCATACATAGTTCATAGAAATTTATCGTTTTTGTCATTTCATAAAATATATTGACTTGAAGATTGTGTTGTAACATAGCGTAAGGCATGTAGAGTACTTACATTGTACAATGGCGGCGCAGCAAGTTGTGAGGTGAGCTCGTGTAGCCGCGCCCTCGCCGCCTCCTCCTCGGGGGACAGCGCCGCGCCCACGCGACCCATCACCTCGCGCCGAGCTACCACCTGCAACAATACCGTAAAACCTTTATTTATTAATTAAATAGTAGAGGTGGAATTTATTGTTATACTTTAGGAGGCGTAAGCGATATAGAATAAGGGAAAAGTGCAAACATCTTAGTAAGGGTTGACTGGTCACTTAACACATTCAGTGCCCCCGACGCGTATGTGCGTGCGAGGAAACGCACATACGCGTCGGGGGCACTGAATGTGTTAAGGCACTTATAAAGTTAATGTGAGAAACATAAGTAGACTGATGTTTGTTATATAAAAATCGATGTCAATCTCAAATATCTTGGATTGATATTGATTATTAATTGTTTAGCCTTTAAACTATTGAGTAAGTAGAGTTGTGACAATAGTTTTACAATCATGTTGAGTAAATTATGCCTGGTATGTGGGATTAGGGTCATTCTCGATTATGTGGGAGCCACATCATAGTTGGCTAGGATGAATTAACCATGGTTTATACTTGAGCGTACTATCCAAACTAATATTACAAATGGGAAAGTAACTCTGTCTGTTTGTCCGTTATTTTGCCACGCCTAAACTACTGAACCGATTTCTGTAAAATTTCGTACAGACATAGTTTGGAACTCGAGATAGAACATAGGATAGTTTTTATACCAAAAATCAGCAGGAAGTCACTATTTCACGCGAACGTAGTCGCGGGCTAAAGCTTAGTAGGTAATATAGAAGGTTTTTTTTTGTGAGGGGAAAATCATCAAATGACTTCTCCCGCCCAGGGCCGGGCAGGAGGGAGTGTCAGACTCTTACTGACTAAAAACCCCCCTGTTCCTTCTCCTGCTCTGTGCCGAGGTCGCGGTACCTCATTGCGCTTACCCCGCAACCCCGACTGAACATCAGCCCTTTAGGGCCCCGTCTGTGGTGGTCGAATGGCTCTATGAGGCGCGCGCGGAACGCTACGCGCCGTACGCTCGGGCCTGGTTCTGGTCGGGCGGCGAGCTGCCCTTACTCGCCGACCGCAGGCCCGTGCTTACGGTGGCCGGAGATCGTCCCTCGATCCCCGACGCCCGTAGTGTCGCCAGTTGCGGCTGCTGGGGCGTGAGGAGGAGGATTGCTCCCTCACGCGGGCCGCCTCTCTCTTTGCGAGCATGAGCTGCGCGAGTCGCGCGGCGGAGGCGGCGCGGCGCGTGCGCAGCTCGGCCAGGTCGGCCGCCGCGCGCTGCAGCTTAGTAGGTAATATAGAAGGTACGTACCTGCAGCAGCGTGTGCCTGCGCGCGTGCAGCGTGGCGGCGAGCTGCGCGAGTCGCGCGGCGGAGGCGGCGCGGCGCGTGCGCAGCTCGGCCAGGTCGGCCGCCGCGCGCTGCAGCTTAGTAGGTAATATAGAAGGTACGTACCTGCAGCAGCGTGTGCCTGCGCGCGTGCAGCGTGGCGGCGAGCTGCGCGAGTCGCGCGGCGGAGGCGGCGCGGCGCGTGCGCAGCTCGGCCAGGTCGGCCGCCGCGCGCTGCAGCTTAGTAGGTAATATAGAAGGTACGTACCTGCAGCAGCGTGTGCCTGCGCGCGTGCAGCGTGGCGGCGAGCTGCGCGAGTCGCGCGGCGGAGGCGGCGCGGCGCGTGCGCAGCTCGGCCAGGTCGGCCGCCGCGCGCTGCAGCTTAGTAGGTAATATAGAAGGTACGTACCTGCAGCAGCGTGTGCCTGCGCGCGTGCAGCGTGGCGGCGAGCTGCGCGAGTCGCGCGGCGGAGGCGGCGCGGCGCGTGCGCAGCTCGGCCAGGTCGGCCGCCGCGCGCTGCAGCTTAGTAGGTAATATAGAAGGTACGTACCTGCAGCAGCGTGTGCCTGCGCGCGTGCAGCGTGGCGGCGAGCTGCGCGAGTCGCGCGGCGGAGGCGGCGCGGCGCGTGCGCAGCTCGGCCAGGTCGGCCGCCGCGCGCTGCAGCCACTGCGCCTGCAGCCGCGCCTGCTGCTCCTGGCACCCGCTGCGGAACTTTATCTGCAACCCCAACAACAGCTCTCTACTACATACTAGCGACACGCACCGACTTCACATCACATCATATAAGTACCACTTACTGAGCAAAAGCCTCTTCTCACTGAGAAGGTTTGAGCATTAATCACCACGCTTGCTCATGGCGGATTTGCAATTTCAAACTTATAATTAAAAATTAAAGTCTAGTTTGCCTCACGATGTTGCCCTTCACCGCATCTCAGTCCAACTTCCTCATTGTCAGTAATTTGTTTTGTGAACAAATCGCTACGGTATCAAAAGTATTGCTATTTATCTATACTTCTATACTAATATTATAAAGAGGTAAAATTTGTAAGTTTTTATGTAAGGGGTAATCTTTGAAACCACTGATCGGTTCCCAAAATTTTTTCACGTATTAATAGCTACAATGTTCCTGAGTGCTATAGGCTATAAAACATCAAGCTACAATCAAATGGAGCCGAGTAGCGAGTGAAACCGCGCGGGAGTAGCTAGTTATATATATTTTACTACCTGCATTTAGAAAAATTCAATAACAAAAGTATGAGAGAAATCTGTTCTCGAGATTGCGCTTAGCAACACTAAATCGAGATAACAATGAGTGGCATGACTCTCATAGCTTACTTCAGAAAATCCAATGATAGGCACAGGAATGTAGTTTTCGGGGTCAGGATTATCAGCTTGAGCTTGCTTCCAGAGTCGCATGTCCATTCCTGGGAAAAAACATTTCTTTTTAGAGAGTGCAGTTACCTGCCACTTTACCGTTTTATATATTCTATCCTAGGTTCCTTATTATTTATATATATTACTTAACTTTGAATTGTGACAATACAAGACACGACGAATCAAGCACAGCTATGTATTTCGCCGTATGAGGGAGGTCTCCGGAGGCCCAATCTTTCTCTTTCCTAAAACCCTCCCCAATCCCAAAATCTCCAAATCCCTTATCCGCAAAAGGTCGGCAACGCACTCGTAACATCGGTTGTTGCGGGTAACCATGGGCGGCGCTGAATGCTTGCCATCAGGTAATCCGTTAGCTCGTTTACCGACCTATCAATAAAAAAAAATTAATATACGTACCAGGGGGTGCAGTTTGTAAGTACTGCGCCAACATTTGCGGCGAGGGCGTCGTCACAGGCGACACGGTGGTGCAGCCCGCGCCGTTCAAAGCGTTGCGAGCCGCGCCCGCGTTCAAAAAGTTGCTTAACTCTGATGCAGATATGTGCGTATTACCTGCTCCTTTATCCACTACGTATATTACAACCTGAAATAAAAACAACACACCAATTACATACATACATTTAAAAAATTTGATATGTTAGATTTTTACTGGCATTGGGCTTATGAGCCCCTCCCGGCCTTGAAACTAGTCGATAGTAATCGAAAACTAATATATTAAACTGTAATTATTTGAAAATGGTATTTAATCGCTGACTAACAAAATAGTATTCAAGTACCTGAGTTTTGTTCTCGGAGACAGCTTTAACACATTCTATAGTGACTGCTAAATTGGGTTTGTTTCCCATTAAACCTTGCAGAGATGTTGTGAGAGCCTGCTGATTATTTCTGCAAAGAAAAGGAAATAAATTAGTTTGTAAATATTACACATGTAACTTGTGAACCAACTCGTCCACTGGTTCACAAGTGTAACTATCGCCGAGTAGAGTTTCAAATGCGAATTATTTATAGGTCAACGCAGTTGATACGATCCTGCGTTTAGCCGACTGATTGGTTTTGTTTGTGGTTGCCGGTCAAGCGCAATAACATACCGCATCCCTGGCCTCAGCCAGGATAAGGAACGGGGCGGTAAGAGTCTGACACTCTCTCACCTCATTATGGCGGAAGAAGTCATGTTATGATTTTCCCTTCTCAAAAAAAAACCTCTAAATGGTTTGATAACTTAGAGCGGGCCAATAGGGCCAATTAGAACCCCGAAAAGTAAAATGAACTGGCACTAGGCACTCGCAGGAGAGCAGATCATTTCTCTGCGACTCAATTGTCGAAATTATTTTTAAACTTCTGCCTCCTTAAGGTGGCCTTCAGTTGGCCCCTGCCTTCACGCGACATATAGGTGGCGTGAAAGTCGATTAAAGTTTTTATTAACCCTAATTTTCTATAAATCGGAGGCGGCAAATAGTTTGATTAATCACCGATGGTAAGCAACCGACTTTGCTTTATGGAGATGGAAATACTTGAGGATCATGCCTAGTATTAATGGAGATCATGCCTAGTAGTGATAATTCACAAGCAATTTTAATGAAAATTGAAAACCCACTTGATCTCCTGTTCAGGTTTGTTGAACAACATGGCCACATGACCATCCTTGTCCTCGCGGCCGCCGAGCCGGGAGTATCCTACCGCCTTGAACCTGCATAGTGGATTCTGTTCGTTCAGCTCTAAAGGCGGCGCGTTACGACTGTAGTAGGCTTGACCTGAAATATAATAATGATATTATTGCACTACAAACATTTATAATTACAGATGCAATGCTGATACTAAATTTTATTTAAACTATTTTATGGATATTGGTAAACAAATAAAACTCTTTTAAAAAACCGCATCAAAAACCTTTACGCATAATTATATAGACATAGGGACAAAGAAAGCAACTGTTTTATACTATGTAGTGGTGTTTACTTAAAACAAAAAAATTTTTAAGTGCTGGCTAGTTAGAAAGTTATTGAATAAGTAGTATGATCATAGACTCATGTAGTGTCTTCTACGCCAGCAGGGGAGAGAGAAGGATTGGGCTCCGGCTACCTCATTCACACAGAGAAAAACAATGCAGGCATTTGTCTTCTAAATCCTAACGAGTCTAAGTATGGATAATGAAATACCAAAACTCACCAGTTCCCCACTGTGCCTGTATGAGGTTCCACTTGGCCAGCACTTGGTCCCTCTCATCTCCGAAGACACAGCAGTTAAAGACGGCGGCCACAAGAGCCTCATGAGCTGACGTGGGACCCTGCGCCTGTTGCTGTTGTTGCTGCTGCTGCGCTTGTTGCTGCTAAAAATGAATTTACAATTTACAGTGGTTTGTCTTCAAAATATTTTATTATCTTCACTTTAAAGTGTAAAATTGAAAATTAGAAAAAAATTAATTACAGTTAATAGGGATGGTAAAAAATAATGTTTTTTCTCGAATACGAGTAAATCATAACATTTCAGTATTTATGTAGATAAATTTGAAAGAAATGAGTACTGTTAAGTTGTCTATGTACGAAAGCAGTGTGTACCTGTAGTAAGCATGCTTATTTGGTCTTTGGTAATTATATTTATTACTATAGTCAGACTTTTAATTCGATTCCTGATTTGACATTGACCACTGTCATTTTGTGAAATAATGATACCACATATAACAGTGTAGTGATGAACACAAAAATCGATAAACAATCAGTGAATCAGTTTCAGGAAGGCATTCAAAAAATTACGGCTACCGAATGGTCTAAATGTGTATCCCATTTTTTCAAAGAAGAGGAAAAAATGAGTAAGCTAGATATGTTAATTGACAATAAATATCAAAGACACAATTCATAATAAATGTTACATAGAGTAACGGCGATAGCGATAGCGATGACGGCGACAATTTATAAAATGTGTGTTTTATTTGTTACGTTCCTTCATGATCACATTTTTTATTAATTTCACACACAATTACAAAAGAAAAATCTCAGATTGTTAATTAATTGTCAAAACTAAATTATCGGTTCAAAAATATTTTATTGCCTGATAAACTTAGTTTACGAGAGTAAATTTATAAACGAGAGGAATCGATTCAGAAATATTCGATATCCGTATCGAATAATTTCGCAACGTCACTATTTATTGCGTGTCATAACGTTGCAACACTGAAATTGTCAAATCTGGAATGGAATTAAAAGTCCGAGTATAGTATATAGTTTATAATATGTGTGCTGTTAGCATACCCTAAAATAAATAAATAAGTACTGAAATTGACAGCAAAAATATGTCTCATAAATTAGCAATCTTGTACATAATCCATAGAGTTTGTGACATTTTTAAATGTATTAACTTTGACTTATTTTGTAATCAACCCCATCAATAATCATTTATTACGTTAATAGACTTTCCTCCAAAAAACCATACCATAAAATCACCCTCTATCATGTGAGAGGAAGATAAACAGAATTTTTGTACCTGTCCAAACTGTGGTGCAGCTCCAAGATTTCCAAATCCAGTGAATCCAGTTCCCGGTTTAGCTCCAAACCCAGAATTGAATGTGTTTGTAGCACCACCGAACGGTGCGCCAAAGGTATTGGAGCCAAGGGTGTTGGTGCCAAATGTTGGAGCAGTGCTACCAAATGTAGATTGGCCAAATGCTGGTGTTGTACCAAATGTGCTGGTACCAAATGAAGTATTTCCAAAACCTACAGATTAAAATAAGATTGTTATGAAAATGCACAACATAAAAACGAAAGTAGTTTAATATTTTAAATCAATTTTCATCAAATTTGAAAATTTTATAGAGAAATTGATATGTTGGTTGATATTGTTGCCATACACAGAATTTATATAGTTTTGTTTCAGTTAAGTGAACTTCAAGATTTGACATTAAGTTTAGCGCATGAGTGTGAAAGTATAAAGGGAGCATTGGCTCAAAAATATTTGATTTTGGATTAACGATCTGCTCCACGTTGGAGCAGATCGTGGAGTATGTCCGATCCAAGCCCAACTGGACCTTGAGGGTGGCGAAGTTGTGCGAGTTCCAACTCATTTCGTCGAGACATTTCTCAAGGAAGAGTTTTGGCCGAAGGGTGTCGTATATCGGAGGTTCCGAGGATGGCTACGCGACACCACGCAGCGTAACACGACGCCGACACTTCGTGTGCATTAGTTTTTAAGTTATCTATGTAACATATGTATTAGTTTATGATTTAATGTTATAATATATTTATGTATTGTATTCTCTATGGGCCTCAGATGCCTGACTTAAATAAATAAATAAATTAATTAATATTCTGCTAATTGTAAACCCAAAGACTAATAAGCAATATTAACGAAAAATAATAATCCATACTTTCAAAACCCATTCTAAAAAGTGGAGGAATAGAAAGAGAAAAACATCCTATGCATACATAACTTGTCTAACTAATTAGCTTAAAAAGCTTTCCTTTATATATGTAGATTTAAGAAGTGTTATACCTGTTGCTGGTTTAGCTGCAGTGGAGCCAAAGCCTGTTCCGCCGAACAAGGATGGGGCTGTAGATGCAGGTGTAGATCCCAACCCTCCAAATGGTGCAGCTGTGAAATACAACCATAAATTGAGGAAGGGCATTTTGGCTTTTGTCACATTTTGTACATTAAAAAAAAATAAGAATAATAAAGATTCATAATGTTTATAGTTCTTATAATCAACAATAATCAAAATAACTACATTGTTATTTAAAAACATTCTTTTGTAAAACTTTAGTCTAAATACTTTTTCCATTAATAATTCTAAATAACTAACCTAAATGGAAGAATAAATCAAAAACATACCTAATAAAAGAAAAAATGTATACTGAAAAATCATTATCATTAGCAATATTCATAATTTTGATTCAATAATTTTCTTTCCCAACTTCACCCACTTATTTGTATTCTTCTCAATAGTTTGTTTTAAGCCTTTGACTGCCGACAATAAACTGTTGAAGACAAATCCTCCGCTAACGGAGGTCACCGGTGACCCCCATGGCGCTTAACGTGTTAATATAAATATACATGTAAATAACCTCAATTTATTAAGAATGTACCAAGAGTAACACATAAAAGTTTCCTACATAACTCTGAGTTACCTGTACTAGTTGCTGTAGCACCAAATCCACCAAAACCTGTTGATGTGGAAGTATTTCCAAAACCACCAAAACCAGCACTGCTTGTTGTTGTAGTACCTCCACCAAATGAAAATGTTGCTGGAATAAGACAAAAATAAATATTAAATAGAATAAAAATCATATATTTGATCACTGTGAGTGATAAGACCGCCCATTGTACACTCTGTGGTTGTTAGCCTGCTCTTTGTATTAAATTTTAATGTTCTCCGCCCCTAAGACGACCCACTGACCCAATAAAGAATATATAAATAAATAAATAAATATTTTTTATTTATTTTATACTATTTGAAAAAGATTACAATAATAGCAAGTTTTATACACTTTTCATCTATGTATTACAAAAATGCAAAGTAATGTATTGTATTTGATATAATTATGTGCATCTACTCCTTGCTATATTTCTGTTAGTGAAACTTTTGAAAACAACGTACATAATATAACCAATAAAATAGAATTTTTTATCGTATCAAACCGGAAATATCAATTTAATGAGAGACTACTTCAAGTATTGTCTCAATTTATTTCGTAGTTACGTTTACTGCAAAGTATTTGTTAATTATGTGAATTTTTACTTACGTTTTGCTGCAGCCCCGAACGTTGATGTTTGGGTACTAGGGGTTCCGAATGAGAAAGCCATTGTGTTTACCTATTTGTAACTGTTCAAGGATTCACAATAATTCACAAAACGCACTTAAAGCATAACGTTAAGATTAAATGTACTGTTCTGTGTCTGTTTAACATAAAAAAGGTAGGTTTATAAATTAAACGGCAAAGAAACAACACTTAATCAGTTATTAATAATGAAAAATGAATAAATCTAAAGAGGTTATATTAACAACAGTAAACAACTGGATAACCGGGAACGGGAAATACGGGAATGCCTAGACTTTAGATACGAAGTTGACGTTTGAATTTTGACGTTTGACAATAACGAAACGAATCAAAACGAACCGACGTTTCTACAAAATGTCATTGATGCCTCGGCCACACTCATCGCGATTATTCGCGATAACCCGAATATTCACGTTATCCCGACATGTGTAGCCAAGTATTCGCGAACCCTTCGGCATTTCGGACGAAGAGAATTTCGGGCTTATCGCTCCGCTGTCGGTAAACTCTCGAACATAAAAGGGTTTTGTCGCGATGAACTTCGCGATGCGCGGCCACACTTCAGTCGGCCCGTACGCATCGGCAAAGTGGAGGTCTTAATGATTTTCACTATAAATCGCGATAATATTCCTACGATAAATTTCGTTATTATTATAAGTGGCCACGAATGTTGTTACGATAAGCGCGACCGAGGCATGAGAATAATAGAGACGCACTCAACTCCGAAATACAATATTAGGTACTATTAGCGCATGCATGCTTAGCGTGTCGTGTCGTGGCAGAGAACGCCTTGATTTCACTCATACGTTTTAAAATTGTCATATTTATTTATCTCTAACCATGGCAAACGTATGAAGCCGATAGGCTGCTGGCGTGACACGACACGCCACGAGCGATTCACAGTAACAAGTTTTAGAAAAACATACCTACGTTAAGCTAAAAATTTAAACCCAATAATTACGAGTACATAAGAAAAAGTTGCGGACTAAAGTAGATCAAAGATCAAAGAAGAAAAACAAGGTGTAGTCAAAGATCTTATATAGTTGCCTATTTATTATACTTTATACATAGGTACAATTATCTATTAAAATGAACCCCAATTTTCCTAGGATCAACGAGGGCCCCAAAATCTCTCGAAGATTTTTAACAGTACATTTCGAATAATATGATTCTTGAACCTTGGTGTAGTATAACCAACTTTTGCCCTATTTTAAACAACAAAAATAATAATCAATTAGTTAGGGCTGGGAACTATGGATAGAGCTCAGAATACAGAACAAACTTGTGTTGTTCTGCTGAGGGATAAAATATTAATACTAAAATGCAACTGATATACGACAATTTAAGATATCTCTTTCAAGATTTTCATAACGTTACGAAATAAAATATATGTTGTTTTATTAAAAATTAAAGTTATTTTCGTATTAGTAATTTTTTTCCAACAAGCTAACGAAACTAGGGAAATGTCAATCTCGTAAAGTCGTAACCTAAATCATTCATTCATGCTCATACATAACCACAGACTTTTTTTTGGAACATAACCTACAAAAGTACCTCTTTTTACTAGAATGGTACTTGCTTGTTTACAAATAAAAGATGAACTATCATAAATAGCTACTTTATTGCATATCACATCACCAATCCACCACTATCTCCAAATTCATTGTGAATATTTTCAGTAATCTGATAGAACATTTTTTCCTTGGTGGTAACACATTGTAAATCACAGATGGAACATTCCAGAGGAAAATAAATGCTTACATCATTTTACTTTTGTTAGTTTTAGTAAGTATACAATTATTAAAAGAACACATTCAACAGCAAAAATGAGATAGAATTAAAATTATGCAATAAACAAATCGGAGTTAAGTCTTCGCCTCCCAGGGAATCCGTTATTTCTTTCCTCCAGGAGGCTGTAGTGGCTGGCCACGTTCTTTTCCTCGAAGTTTTATTCCAATTGCCCTTTCTATTTTACCAAGAACAATGTTGTTTGGAATGCCTCGACCGGCCTCATAATCATTGACAATTTGAGGTTTCTCGCAGATCTTTGTTGCCAAATCTTTTTGACTCATTCCTTTAGACTGCCTTCCTTGCATTATAAGTTTTCCCAGGTCAAGAGGTACTTTTTCGTGGCGCAATTCTTCAGTCTCTCTGTCGAGTTTAGCCGTGTTTTTAGTAGTAACGTGTTGTTTATTAGTTCCAGCTCCATATTTTTGTTGAGTTTCAACTGGTAGACCTTGACGGCGTGCCGCATTTACAGCTTGTTCAGTCTTCAAAGCAGACGCTTTTGGTGGTTTCTTACGAAGAATCGTGACCGTATCCCAGTCAGACATTTTTCCGCAGCTGATATCACTGGTTTCACAAAGAAATGATTAAGTATACGAAAATTTATCTGCGTTTTCGTGTCTGCCGTGGTGATCGCTCTATGGCAGCTAATTCAATGACTAGAGACGTGCATCGACTGGTTTTTTTTGTAAATAAACGATAAGCGGAATAATACCGGTTTCTACTAATGGAAAGTTATAAATTTATTAGCAAATATTTTATCATGATTACATACTTAAGCACTTACTATACCTTATAAACACAAGGAAAATAAATTATTGCCGAAATCAACACCGGACATTGCTTTTAAAATTGTCTACCAATATATTTAGTCTGTCGTTGTCTGACGATTGACATTTAACTGGTTGACATTGACATACAAAACAGGAACAATAAAACCAAAACAAGCATTGTTATGGACTTTCGTTGGTAGTGGTGAAGGATACGCACGTGTTTTTTATCGGTACTACGATTGTTGTCAATTTTAGTGATCTTTTTCATAGTGATCTAAATTGAAGCATTTTGTGTTGTTTTTATTGTGTTTGTGTGTGTTTTTTAACGTAGTAAGTAGTAGTTTTAACCTTTAATTATAACTTTTTCTTCCCTTTACTTCCCTCTTCTCTCCATTGTCCAAAATGGACGAGGAGAAACCTCCGGACCCTCCTGATAAAACGTTGGACTACCAACCAATTTTAACGATTACCCTACCCCACGATAACCCCGATCCCGAACTAATGGACTCTGAGTCATCAGCCAACAGAAAAAGATCAGCAGGCTCCCCACCTATCTCTCGTAACAACCCTCCAAAAGTACCTAAAAGCATAAATGGTAGGCAATGTTACACAGCTAAGGACAACCCCCCATACATCGTATATGTCTCCCTCAAGGACTCCCAGACTTCTGGTACCACACTGCACCCAGTAAAGTTCGGGATGTTCTTGATGCGGAACAATATAAATAATGTTAAAATTGGCGGTGTTAAACGATTAGGAAGGAACAGGGTTTCAGTGGAGTTTGTGTCACACCAGGATGCCAACAGTTTTTTAGTAAATTGTGTGGTGGCACAAAACTATACAACATCAATCCCACAATTCAATATCACGAGAATGGGTATAGTGAGGGATGTTCCCATTGAGTGGTCGGAGGAGGAGGTTATCAGCAACATTAAGGTTCCTGCGGGATGTGGTGTTGTGATAAAAGCAAGACGGATGAACAGGAAAGTTTCCTCACCAAGCGGAATGGAATGGAAGCCCACCCAAACCGTAGTCCTGACATTTGATGGCCAAATCTTACCCAAGAAAGTGTTTTGCTTCTATTCAGCGCTCCCAGTTGAACTTTATTCATACCCGACAATCCAATGTTATAACTGTTGTCGATTTGGGCACACCCGCACTTTATGCCGTTCAAAACCACGCTGCTTCAAGTGTGGCCAGGATCATCCTGGTGATGGATGCCAATTAGCTAGTGAGGATGCACATTGTATAAACTGCAATGGCAATCATTTTGCAAATGACAGTGCTTGTCCTGAGCTGGGCCGCCAAAAGAGCATTAAAGCTTTAATGGCGGAAAAATCTATTTCATATGCTGAAGCTAGCCAAGTTTTCCCACCTGTCAAAAGGTCATATGCCGAGGTGTCTAAATCAACAAACTATATTGACTCAACACCAACCAAAAAACCATCCCAAAAAAGAACCTCATATAAAAAAACAGTACTCCTTAAACCCAAATCCCATGCTCCCCTTTCTCCTAGTTATGACAAGAAGGCCCATCAGGCCCTTATCCAAGATTATTCTTTTTCCCCATCCCAAAATGGTTGCGCTTTCCCAATGGAATTTGGAACCAACAAACATAGCTCCAAAGACATTTTAAATATTATTTCCAATATGTTGATAGCAGTGTTATCTAACCCTGCTCAAGCCGTACCTGACCACGTTGCACACAGACTAGCTACCATCCTAGAGTATATTTATAAAATTCCACCCACTAACTCTCCTTCAGTGGAACGTGAGGAGTACTCTTCCCAGGAAGAGTGACTTACTCCATTTAATTAATAAATTTCAACCTTCAATTTGTGGCATTGCTGAGACATGGCTCCTACCGAATATTAATTTCAGGATCCCATGTTTCAGTGTTGTCAGACAGGACAGATCTGATGGTTATGGAGGTTGTGCTTTGTTAGTAAATAACAAAGTACCCTTCTCCCAGATCCCTCTACCCTTCGTTGGCGATGACATAAATGTTGTCGCTGTTAAGGCTGAGGACATAAACATTTTTGTGTTTTATATTGCCCACCCCCAGAGTAGTCATATCATTTTAATTAAAAATCTATTAAGTTCAGTAAATGGTCCTTTACTTGTAATGGGCGACTTTAACTGCCATCACTTTCGATGGGGGTCTGAAATATGCGATAGCATAGGTCATGACCTAGTAGACATGCTGGATGACCTCGACTTATGCGTCATCAATGATGGCAGCCCCACTCGTAGGTCTGCACTTGGTCAAAGAAACAGCTGTGTGGACTTGACTTTCTGCTCATCTAGTGTGGCTAGCTTGCTTAATTGGAGTTGTTTGGATATGACCTATGGCAGTGATCACTATCCCATTATTATTAAGAGCCCATCTAAATCCATTCCAGATAAATCCCTTCCTCCCTTATTAAAATACCGGCTAAACTCAGCGGATTGGGACCTTTTTTCCAAACTGCTGGATCTTCGCATTTCCGCATTACCAATTGTTACCTCTGAAAACGCTTTGGAGTGCTTTTCCCAATTTTCCGACGTAGTAGCTGCTACAGCTAAAGACTGCTTTCCGGAGAAAAGCATCCCAAAAGGAAAAATCCCCTCCCCCCCTTGGTGGGATAGTGAATGCACTGCCATGATACGAGCTAGGAATGAGGCTGAAAAGACATATAACCACGATATGAACCTGGAAAATCTCATAAACTTCAAGCGAATATTGGCTAAGTCAAGGAAGTTGTTTAAAAAGAAGAAGAAACAGAGCTGGCGGAGTTTCTGTTGTTCTTTGAACCCATCCACACCGGTGGCAACGGTTTGGCAGAGGGTGAAGAGCTTTAGGAACTCCTCTAAACCTCCTTCAATTTCCATCTTACCTGATAGTCTAAGCCATATGTTCTTTGCCAACATTGCTCCTACTTATGTTCCCAGTGAAGATGAATGTTGTTGGGGATTGTGTGAAGACTCACATGACCCCCTTGACAAAAAGTTCACAATGGAAGAGCTCCAAACGGTGCTGAACCATGTGAAAGACTCTGCACCAGGTAATGATGGATTCCCTTACTCCTTCCTCTCAAAATCAGGAATCAAAACTAAACAGTACTACCTTGACTTGGTCAATTTTTGTTTTATTTTTGGCTATATTCCCCCTTCCTGGAAGGTTCAGGTTGTTATACCGCTGTTAAAAGCTGGTAAAGATTCTGGTGATCATTCGTCTTACCGGCCTATTGCGCTATCGTCCATCCTTATTAAAATCCTAGAACACCTTATAAAAAACCGATTAGAATGGTTGGTGGAGGGCCAGAGACTGCTGCCGGTGACTCAATTTGGCTTTAGAAAGGGCTTGGGAACGGCCGATAGTGTGGGCACCCTCACATCGGCCATCCGACTGGCCCTTAGCAGGAGTGAGTCATTGGTTGCGGCCTTCTTGGATATTTCAGCGGCTTATGACTCGGTTCTCCTACCCCTTCTCAGGCAAAAATTGCAAAAGCTGAGAATCCCGAGTAGGATTTGCCAGATTATAGGCCATATCCTCTCCAATCGTACCCTCCAATTAAGAACTCCTGAAGATAGCCCTCTACAGAGAACTGCCTGGAGAGGGTTACCCCAGGGGTCGGTCCTTAGTCCCATCCTCTTCAATATTTATACCCATGACCTTCCCTCCTGTTTAAACTATGACTGCAATATCCTACAATACGCTGACGATATCGCGTTAATGGTCACCAATACCTCTATAACAGACGCCGCTCGCTCCATGAATGTCTCTTTATCCTCATTAAACCAATGGCTGGTTAATCATGGGTTATGTTTAAGTGCCCCAAAAAGCTCGGCTGTAATTTTTACGCGTAGCCGTCGCATTCCAGATGTCCGTATAGAAATAGACGGTCAGGTAATCCCGATAAGCAACAAGGCTAGATTCCTAGGCGTGATTCTAGACTCTAGGATGTCGGGGTTGGATCACGTAGACGCCGTCGTCACAAGGTGTGAACGGTCAGTAGCTGTACTCAGAGCATTGGCTGGAGTATGGTGGGGTGCCAACCCCTTTACATTGAAGCTCATCTATAATGCATTGGTCAGAAGCGTAATGGATTATTGCTGCTTCCTTATGGCACCTTGCAATAAGGAAGCTTTTAAAAAACTTGATTCCATTCAGGCCAAATGCCTTAGAATAATTATTGGAGCTATGAAGTCATCCCCTATAAATGCCCTACAGGTCGAATGTGCAGAGCCCCCCCTCGACCTTCGGAGACAATACCTAGCAGACCGTTTCGTTTCGAAAGCCCTTTCCCTTTCATCGCATCCCCTACTTCCGATCTTGGACCAGATCCACTGCTCCTATAATTCCTCCCCTTACTGGAACAATAAGTCTGTCCCTCCTGTGATTGTTAGGTACAGAGAACTTAAAAACCTCTCTGCACCCATCAGCCAATATCCTGTACTCCCGGTCTTTTCTTCTGCATATGAGATTATCCACTTCAGGCCAAGCATTGTCTTGGAACTAGGCATTGCAAAATCATCAGCGAACGCCAACAAGAAATTCAAACGCGCGTTGAGCAATTTCTGGAGTGACTGGAATTTGTTCTACACAGATGCTTCTAAACTGACTCCTGAGGGATGCACAGGAGTAGCAGCATATTATCAGAACTCAAGGATTGCTTTGTTAGCCAAATATCCCTCTGAGGCTTCTGTATTTACTGGGGAATGTGCTGCTATTCTGGAGTCCATAAAGTTTATCAGAGCTCACAACTTGAAAAATTCAGTCATCTTCTCAGATTCTAGAAGCAGTCTTCAAGCTCTTGGCCAAGACCAGCTTCACTCCAGAACCTATAGTAGTTTAATCATAGAAATTAAAGCTCTACTTCTTGCGTGTCACGAGGATGGTTTAAAAATAGAAATCGCTTGGATTCCTGGGCACTCTGGCATAAGTGGTAATGAATGTGCGGATACGTTGGCAAAGTTTGCGGCCTCGAATAATGTGGAACACCAACATAACGTTGTGTACGGGTATGATATACGAGCGGACACAAAACACAAGCTTTTTAAATCTTGGGCTGCTGTGTGGGTGGACTCTTCCAAACGGAAAGGTGTCCATTACGCTAATATCCAGCCCGACGTCCAGCGGAAGCCTTGGTTTTGCAAATATACCAAACTCCCCCGACACACTATTACGACCTTGTGCAGGCTCAGACTTGGCCATTGTAGCAGTCCAGTATTCCTCAAAAAGATCCATGTTCGTGACAGTTCGCTGTGCGAATGTGGTCTTGATGAGGGTACTTTGGACCATATATTCTTTTCTTGCCCCTTAAACTCCCAATCCTTTGACCTCTACAAAAAACTCCCAAATTTAGAAATCCCCCTTCCAATCAATTTCCAGTCCCTCTTAACTCACTTTTCTTATAAATTAATTAAATGTCTATCAAAATTTATTAATGATAATGATATTAAACTGTGATGGTGTGTAATATTATAATTATGGTATATACGTATATGTCAGTTGTGTATGTCCTCTTATTTATCTTTATTATATAATGTAAAGTAGAAAAGTATAAAATAAGTAGATATAGTTTTACTAACCCATGTGTTGTCCTTTCAGCTACTAACAACAGACTACCACAAAGTTAAAGTTCGACGGGCCCATAAATCTGCCGTCACTACTTGACACTGGCAGTATAGTCGACAACATTAAATTGGAGACTCGGTTGCCATTCAAGAAAGAAAAAAAAAAAAAAAAAAAAGCATTGTTATTGTGGCAACAAATTTATAAAAATTATAACCTATCTTCTGTAGTCTTGTTTTTGCGTTACTTCTTACCTACGCAGTTAATATTTTAATTTTGAGTAAGGCTGCAGTAAAGGGCAGACAGCATGGCTGAAGTAAAGAATGAACCTGAAGAAGAGGAATTTCTAGTTTATGCAGAATTTGAAGACACCGTAAACATTGAAAAATATCGAACTGTTCATGTACTGGGCGTTGATGGAAAGAATCCTATCATACAAATGGATGATACATTTTTCACAGGTATACAATATTTATAAAATTTTTGGCATCACATTATTTATTATTATACACAAATTTTCAGGTTATGAAATGGTAATGTAAATACTTTGTTTGTATCGAAACAGGTAAATATGACAACGCTCTAGGAACGTATATGTTCTTCGAAGAAGATCCAGACCCGAAATCTGAAGATCCTTTATTTGATAAATTACCGGAAAAGAACCTCAAGTATGTTTGCAAAACAGGAAAATTATTGACTATGGAACATGCATATGTCACACCTAAAGAAGGTAAAGTTACAATGATTCAATCTGTTATTTGTTCTTTGAATCCCCACACACATATTTAATCGTACTTTAGAGATCAATTCATTTATTTCTTACAAATAAGTATAAAAATTACTAAATAAGTAATTGGAAACCTCCACAAATCATTGGAAATTGAATAACTTATTCATGTCACTGAGGTAGACTGTTAAGTTTAAAAACACAATTATGATCTATATAGGTATTCATAATATTAAACTGAGGATTTTGTAATATTACACAGCATATGAGAGTTTGCTAGTTTGAATGTGGTAATCTTTGCAATTACTGGTTTAAAATTAATAATTATTTTCTACTCATTCATCCATTTATCACAGAAGGCTTTAGATCATCAAAATACCACCTTATTGGTGCTTTGCAACAGTGAAAACTGTGCTGGAGTAGCTAGAATGTCATATACATTGTGCATCTTATCATCTATAATATATACAAACAACATGTATCTCTTTTTATGTAATTCTATGTAATGTTAATTTTTCTTTCAGGTCATGATCTCCAAAACATGAAATTAGAAGTAGAAGATAATATAGAACCAATAAATTTCAAAACATTGCAAGATGCTATTGAAAAGTTTAAGCAACATTTTGAAGAAGAGTCAATAACGGAAGTCATAGATTAATAAAGTGTGAAAAATTATATATGGTTTGTTCAAATCTTACTTATATTTTAAATGCTAAAGTTTTTTCGTATGGATGTTTGTTACTGTTTAACTAAAAACTACTGAATGAATATGAAAGAAATCTGGAAACAAGATAGATTATAATTATAGTCTGGAATAAATGGATATATTATGTAGCATAGTTGTATTTCCTGCTATTGGTATAGAGAACAAAAGCAATGGAAAGATCTGGTTAGAATCATAAAATTAATTAAGATTGTATATTATAACATTTAATATTTGGTTTCTTTTTGGACTGCTGAAGGGTTTACTTTTTGATGGATATATAATATAAGAACTGCAAGTTAATAGTTAGGTGTTAGATAAAGAATTATAAGATTTATAAATTGTCTGTTATATTTTAAATAAAAGGATAAAATGAGGCCAGTGCATGGCAATATTCTTAATTATTGTGCGTAATATGCATTATACAGCCGCACCTATACTCCAGGGTATAATTTATAGTTGTGATGTTATATTATAAAGATAATGTTGATTTACTAGGCAGCATACAATAGTTATTATTTTACGAGAATGCAAGGGAGTACTTACTTACACATATATTGTTAATACTTATGCTTACATAAACAAATTAATTACATAGTTAACTTTTGAAACACTAAATTTATTATTTGTATATAATAAAAAAATATGATGAACATAAAATAAAATATCTGGTAAAACGTTATTGGCTACTGAACTTTTATTTTCCATGAAATATCAACTAAAAGAGAAGGTTCAGGAAGTCCCCTATCAATTTTGTTAGTTTGGCAACACTGACATTGGGAATTACCCACAGCAGACGTACGACGCCGATGAATGGTGTAATTCATTCATTCGTTAATAGTTCATTGTGTAACGTACTGGCGTACATTCATTGTAAGTGTGGCGTGCTCATTGTTTATTGGTTGTTGGGTGATTTCATTGCATAGGTAGTTATTGTTAGTACCAGTCAGTAAATAGTGACTTTGGTTGTTGCTTGTTGGTGTCCACGATTTTGGTAAGCATAATGTATTAAAAATGAATAAGTACTTTGTTTATTTAGTAAATTACGTGTAGAGTGTGACATTCAAATCTATTTTTTTTATAGAATATTGTTTAAATCATACTTTAGCACATAATAATTTTATATTTTTACGATTATCTTGGTACATTTCGTAACTTTTAAAAATTCGATGACTTTCTTTCAACTTATTGTAATTTTGTGCTTCCTAATTTCCGGACATTTCCTGTAAACAGTTATTAACAGAGTAAATAGATATGCGTTATGTATATGGTAACTTATGTAGGTTCTTATGTTAGTACCCACGACTTCGTCTACATGTATTTTGATTACCGCTATCGCAGGGAAACAAAAATACAATATTTCTTGAATAAAAGTACCTACCTACTGTAAGGTACTCCGTATAAAATCAGCTAGGTACCTACTAAGTTACCAATAAAATTCCGGTCAAAGCGGTCCAGCCATCGTAAAGATTAATCGGAAAATATATACAGACAAAAAATGTGAAAGTGTTGTTATTAATATTACAAACAGATATTCCAATTTTATTAATAGGTATGGTACGAATGTATTAAGGTACCTATAGATAAATAGGTAACTGTTTCTAGATATGGGTAGGCACGCTACCCATTTAGACATTCAGGTTAAGACTAAATTGTTGCTAAATAAAAAAAAACCGTATTTCTGTGATATACCTATTCTGTACCTATACCGTAGGTATAACTACCTACACTTATGTATATTACATGTACATAATGCGGAAAATGTGTTATCCGTATTATCCGTATTTATTAATTTAAAAAAGTGTTCTTGTTTCAGAAAGATGACAAACAGAAACACGAGGCGAAAAAATAAACCAGTTAAAACTTTGGAAGAAATATTTCAAGAAATAAATAGAAGACATGTACGGATTAAAAAAAAAGAGAGGATAAACAATCAATCTATACTTTATAAAGTGCTACAAGAACTTCTGACCTCAATGCGTAAATGCGACAGCTTGTTTGACAGCATGAAACCAAGATTAGCGTATTTGGGTAGCTACTTTGATGGATTACGCGTGGGACAACCGACAGAGTACGATATAAATATTATTCTGACCGTACACATCAATTATAATAAAATAGAATTAGATGCTCGTCATTCTGAAAATGGCTATACGAGTATAATAATGCCGGAAGAATTTCGCAGACTGTCCAAAACTCCCGCAACAGCTGAACGAGGTTTCAAAAAAACCGAATATTGGTGTGATCGATCCTATCACCTTTCGATAGGAAGATTTCGTTCATGGATGCAAAGTGTAGTAGACACAGCCCTTAATAAACTACCATTAGTGGACGGTAAACGAATGGTAAAAGTAGAAGACAAATACTTCAAAATTGGTTACAAAATGTCTGGACCTGCTAATACTATAACAATATGTATGAAAGACGATTACATAATCGATGTCGATTTGGTTCCAACCTTGTCGTTTGAGCTACCCAAACAACCGCACCATTCAAACATTGATTTTAATAAAGTAAAACAAACTAAAATTTCCTACTATTTTGCAGTGCCAAAACCAAGCAACAATGATCTAAGTTGGAGATTAGCCTTTCCATATCAAGAACGATGTTACACCGATAATAAAAACAATTTAAAGAGTGCTTTAAAACTTTTAAAACTATTTCGTGATATTCAGGGGTTTAATCAGTTAGCTAGCTATTTCATTAAGACTTTATTTTTATGGGAAATTGTAGAAAATGATGAGGAATTTTGGAAAAATAACTCATTGACCTTCTTAGTACTCCATATGTTGAAAAGGCTACGAGATAGTTTGGCAGTTGCAACAATCAGTAATTTTTGGTGCCCTGATCACAATCTCCTTGAAAAAATTAAACTTGTCACATGTGTTAATTGGAGTAACCGCGTATCTAACATAATAAATGATATTGAACGAAATAAAATAAATAATCCGCATGTAATATTAAAGTACTTTACAAAAACATCGGAATCGTGCACGAAGTGAACATAAGTTTTGTATATTCAATTCAAGTAACAGATAGTCATACTCATAAGAAATACTTCATCTACTAAATACTCTACGAATGTAAATACATAGCTATAGTTTTAAGTTATTGTTAGAAATAAAAAAGTACTAGTGTACCAATTTTGTTTTATTGAATTAAGTGCCTACCTATTAAGCATTCTATAACTCTTTGAATGTAAGTACCTTATTAATGACGTAAGAGAGGGAACATAATAAAACCTCTGCTTACAATTCTATAATATTAGTGCATGTGGTGTGGCAGTACGTCCTAAAGTTCATTATTATATATAATTGTCCCAAATCATGTTTTACGGAAGGGGAGATTAAGGAAGGCAAACACCTTTTATCCCTTTTTTAGCTAGTTAGGAATCTTATAAATAATACGCCATGTTTATGTGTGCAATACCATTGCAATTATAATACTCTAATCTGTTAGTGAGAATTTTCTAAAACCCAACTGTCGACCGGGAATTCTTGTAACCCTTTGGCTGGCAGCCATGCTTGCAACGAATTTACAACCTAAATCAAACTCCAAAGTATTTTTTATTACGCTTTTTGGTCATACAACATATCTTATGGTAATTTTAAAACTGCCCATTTCTTAAGTTCTTCTTTCAACTGCACGGTTGACACGGTGGCTAGGCAACTGACTGCCGTGCACGCAACGTGTTGCGGGTTCGATTCCCGCACGGAACAACCCTTTGTGGGATCCATAAATTGTTGTTCCGGGTCTGGTTGCAATGTGTAAGTATGTGAAATTGTATGTTTATAAATGCACCCAGGACACAGGAGAAATTCCTAATGTGAGGCAACGTTTTAAGAATAATAACAATACTAACACGATTAATTTGGGCTTATTGGGTATTGACGTCTAGGCGATACCTACTACGACCAGTCTTACTGGAATACATCTTTATCCCATTAGTCTTACTGGCGTGAGCGGCTCACGCCAGTAAGACTTACGGCGAGCCTACCTTTACCCATTGAGGATCATCATCGATACCTACGGATCCTGCATCACTAGCCCACTCGCCGCTTACGAGCAGTTTCCACCCTTGGAGCAGGATCACTGCTCTCGCCAAGCCAGACGTGGGAGACCAATTCCTTGTTATCGTCCTTCGTTCGTTTTAACAAGCTTTATGTGCTAAACTAGCTGAACCCTACTGTTTTACCAGCGTAGTATATAGTTAATGTTCACCAGAATTTGTGTAGCTTCCCAATAGTGGAAGAATTTCTCAAATCGGTCTAGTAGTTTAGGAGCTTGTTCAAAACCAACAAACGAACAAGAAGATATGTATAAGATTAACATAGATAACCATTACTGTAAGAAGGTAAAATAATGACAGTTTTTTCTTTGGTCAGTCACTTACTTATAATTTATATAATTATCAAATTATTTCTCTCGCCCAGTGCCTCAAGAGCCGTGAAACTCTTGCTGTCTAAAAATAAGCCTGTTTTTTCGCCTGCTCCATGCCGAGGTCGCGATACCTTATTGCGTTTCTTACTTCGGCTGAAAATCGACCCTGTTAAGCTCCGTCTGAGATCCTCTAATGGCACTTCGAAGCGCGCGTGGAACGTTATGTGCCACAAACTCTGATCGGTTCTGGTCAGTGGCAAACCTGCGCTTACGGTAGACGGAGATCGCTCTAAAATAGGTAGTTACGATGAAGTTTAATGCTATTACAGTAATTTCAATTCTCTTAGAGGGCAGTTTTTGGTTGGTGCATTTCATTTACAGCATTGAAAGTACTTAGTGCCACTTTTTGAAGTTGAAATAGCAGAAGCAGCGCAATCATTTAGGTACAATAAGGAAGAGAGAATGTTCCTGTTGCCCAGGCAAGTTTACCTATTAAGTACAGAGTTATAGGGATAGGTAATGCTATTTGGTACTGAAAAATCAAAAATGCAATATCTCCAATACGTTAAGACCGTTGTTGAAAATACTCTAAAGTTTACTTTTTCAATTTTGGCATAGGTATTTTTGCGTTTACCCTATACTGATACATTGTAACAAATTTCCGCAAACTTATAAAATATAAGTTCTAATTTTTGCATAATAATCAATTTAGTAATTTGATTTGCAAATACTTTTTTACTGCTGGTATGAAAAATCAGTATCAAAAATAATATTTTTCGTCACTGGCAATAATCCGTTACGCCCCTCCTCAATCAGAGCCGCCATTTTATTTGTATTGTATCGCCATTTCGTTCCTTTCGTGAGATGGAGAATTGGACAAGAAAGTGAGACAGAAATAAAATATTCTGATACCTTTCCATAAAATTGTGCAATTTAAAGTTGTCATAAGTAATATAGGCACGAAAATTCTAAGCAGGTTAGCTATTCCGGACTCATAAAACATTTCTCATCACTTTTTTTTCATATTCGTGACCGCGTCTCACCTCTTGTTCGAGTACAATGGCGTCCGTTTACTCGTAGCGCGTATGGATATTCCGTCATCCTTTTCTTGCATATATCGACTATTCAGGAGACACTGCCTTTCTAACGAATGATCTTTTTACGAGTAGAGTAGACTGATAAGAAATATTCCCCGTTACCTTCGCACTTTGTGTTTGAGTTTCGCTTTCGCGTACAATAAAATTAGCCGCGCTTTTGTCAGACGCTTAAAAATGTTTTTATATTTATTTTTAGAGTGTATTTTATGTTATAACAGACATACGCGATGTACAGCTGATTGAAATTGTGTGATGAAATAATTGATGTGTCGATATGTTCACTACGAACACCGTACAAACCGGCACGGTGCCGACGCTGCAGTATCAAGAGCATCCAACCCAAAAATCACAAGGAAAAAACATAGAGAACGTTCAACAAAAGAATGCTCAACAGACTCAGCAAACTCAGCAGCAACAACAGGTATCTATCTATTCTGTTCATAATGAACCTTAAACCAAACACAGTACCTACCTATTCTTAACCACATAATTTAAACAACAAAAACTATAACATTCTAAATAAATACCACAAACCAGAAATTTCGACTGACTAATATAGTTTATTGCAATGATGTTGAATAATTGCCTTGTCCTTTAATATTCTGACTCTATTATAAATTACATCTGAATTAAATTGTACAATATTACAAACAAAGAAACGTACTTCCCTATTCAATTCAGACTAGTTTTTGTTAAAGTTATTATTTAGCTTTTAGATAAAATCACTCATAATTTTTTTAAGAACCCATCAATAACAGGTTTCCTACATTTTTCAATAATACTACATTTTATTTATGTTCAATTACAGGAGTTCCCAACATTTTGTTATACTACGAATGTGAACATGATTGGCAAATTGGGAACGGGTACCACAAGTGGGGCTGGTAATGTAACCAGCGGAGTAAACATAACTCAACTTACTACAAGTGACGACAAGACTTGTTACATAGCCCAACCATTTTCATACAACTATGCATTAGTGAATCAAATGCAAATAGCTCCTAATGGAATCCAGAATACAATATCAAATATTAGTTTTAAGTGTGATGTGTGTGGTCTGATGTTTGGGCATCTAACTCTTTTAAATGCTCATAAAAGAATACATGCTCAGGATACAGGTAATATTTTTTTTTCTGTATTCTACTAAATTAGATAATATAGTTTTGTTAAAGATGATAATGATGAGGACCTATGTTTAATTTCAGAAAGCAATATAACAGTTGTAGCAACTGGTGTAAGTACTGGAAATGATGTTGCAATGCCTCCACACATTCAGATCCTCTCCTCTGATCCCAATGAGCAGCAGCAACACCATGTGCAAATTCAAGACAGTTAGTAGGCAGTCTTTTATTTTTATGCTTTGCTTTTGTGTAACTAATATGGGTCTCCTTTTCAACTTCCAAACATGTAGACCAATTTTTTTAACCTGCTGCGATGAGCTAGTATTTTTTGTAAAAAAAATGCAAGGTCCTTATTACCTCTGCACTGCTTTAAGTAGTTTATATTTAATTATAATACTGAAACCTAAAACTTATTATAGTGTAACAGTACTGAGTTGTTCATACATATTATTAGTTATTTAAATTAATACCTACTGTTTAAGAACTAAAAAAAACATATGAACAACCTTGAACAACAGTTGAAACTAAATTAAAGAATTTGTAAATTTATTTATGAGAGTTTTTATCTTAAAATATTTGCTGTTATAACTGCATGTGTACATGTGTAGATATTTTTATTATATTAATGTTTTTGCAAATGTTCCAGCTAAACCAGTCATAATTGAAAAGGTACAAAAATGTATTACCTGTGGTGGTCCTATACCCAATAATCCTAAAAGAAAGGGACCTAAACTAATACGCTGTGAAAACTGCATTGCACAAGATTCTGTGGATCAAAGAAATAATCAATGTGAGTATGCTACACTAGTTTAAGTCCTCTTAAGTTCTCTGTCAATACCTGGCAGATAGTTTGATATATTAATGCTCTGTTTCACCATTTTCATGTAAATCCCCCATAAACTTTTGTAGCACATAGTTGTTGTACATACTTACTGGCTATCCAGGTGTTGTGAAATGGGCCCTTAACTTCTATGTAGAATAAAGCTGTCAAGTTAATAAAAACTTAATCAAAAAAATTATTGCCATTTACTGTAAATATTTATTTTCCTTTATAAATATTAATATATTGTTCCTTTATATTGTTTTAACCTTTTGACCACCATGGTTGGCTAAAACGAGAAATGAAAAAGAGGCTATTTCATAATTAAGTAAATCTTGTTTGTTGTCTATGACCAATCATGGCGGTCAAAAGTTTAATAGGAACAAAGCTCTTGCTTAATTTGTGTATAAAGAATATTTGAATAACTCTTCTACAAGAAAACTACACGAACATTGTATTGATTTAGCAATAACAGATATAGGGAAAAAATGTTAAATAGTACCCTTTTTTTATAGTATTTTAGACTAAGTTCTTGATAAGTTTATTTTGTTTTTTCATAAATGCAATTAATTTTTTAATGGTTAACAGTGAATACAACTCAAATATTTGTTGCGGCAGAGGACAATGTGAAATTTGAAGTAAGCAATGTGAGTACAGTGCAGCCATCTGGAGACCCTCTGTCAAACTCACAGAGCAATCAACAAACTCAACAACAGAAACCTTGTGAGTTCCTAATATTTTTTGTGCTTAGACTAAACTAGCAAAGAAAATCCTGCATACTGTTCCTTTGCTGTTGTGTTGTTGGTTTTTATGGTATAAGGCAGCATACAAGCAGACAATTGATATGTCTACTAGTTTTCTCATTATAAGCAATCAATGTCGCCCGCAACATCTGCAGAGAATCCTTTTCTGGCCTTTAACCTCACTCATAAGGTGTTGTTTTTATAGAGGTTGTGGTATCTAAGAACATTCTTAACCACCTCATTTGTGCCAAAGTATGGCTCCCAAACTTACAAGCAAACTACAGCCATAACAGAAAGTCTTATCATCTTACATTTTACTTATACATATTATTCATGTGGAAGTTTGTTAAGCTAGTTAAATGATAAATAAAATATATAAAATTCTTCCAGTACCTGGACATCATCCTGTCAAAAGGAGAAATCTAGCATCAGTTACAAAATGTCAGAACTGCAATGGATCTGGCATTATTTTCGTAGGTGGCAATAAGAATAAATTAAGTAATGCTAATGCAGACAAGCCATTCCATTGTAATATCTGTGGTGGTGCCTTTGCAAGATATTCCTCATTGTGGTCACACAAGAAGTTGCATTCTGGTGAAAAGAATTTCAAATGTGGGATCTGTGGAATTGCATTTGCTAAGGCTGTTTATCTTAAAAATCATTCTAGAATACACACCGGAGAAAAGCCATACAGGTATGTTTACTTAAGTAATATAATATGAAAGTTTCCAACTAGTCAGTATCTTTTTTTTATCTGAATGTCAAAAAAGATTACTTGTCTTTGATATTTGTATGATATCGCAACTTACGACATTAGTCTTATAAATAACGATGCATTAAATGACAGTTATTTCTTAAAAATTAACTGGACATTATCAATAAGAATGTGTTTCAACAATCAATGAATGAAAGTATTATTAGTTTTCAATATTTTATTAGAAAATACCCGATTAAAGACTGCTTAAGAAAAATATATGTTTGCCAAAAGGTTGTTAAAAGAGTTGTAATTTCAGATGTAATACTTGTGGCATGCAGTTTTCACAATCACCACATTTGAAAAATCATGAAAGAACACATTCAGGGGAGAAACCATATGTTTGTGAAGTAAGTTTTATTTATTTATTTTTTAATAAACATTTGCATATTGGGCTTCATGCTAAATAATATTATTTCAAGTAAACTTCATAGATTTTATAAAATTATGAATAAGTTAAGTTCAACATTAAATCCAAAGAAAATTCGATTATCAATAGTGATGGTTTCCGTTTTGTTTATTATTTTCTAATAATATTTAGAGAGTACTATTAAATAGGACCCTAAGGTACAGTGGACTAACAATGTCGAAAATCTAAGTTTATGAGAAAATAGGACACATCATGACCTGTTATTCTAGAGTACTTTACTAATTGTGTATCATTTGTAACTGACCTATTCATCTATACTAATATTATAAAGAGGTAAAATTTGTAAGTTTGTATGTAGGGGTAATCTTTAGAACCGCTGGTCGGATTGCCAAAAATCTTTCACTGATAGATAGCTACAATGTTCCTGAGTGCTATAGGCTATAAAACATCACGCTACGACTAAACAGCGGGTGAAACCGCGCGAGAGTAGCTAGTATTCTCATAAAACGTTATATTTTTTGTATTACAACCATTGATTTTATTTAGGTCTGCGACAAAGGATTTGCGCGGCACGCTACTTTATGGAATCATCGGCGTATACACACGGGAGAGAAGCCATACAAGTAAGTTAAATGCATACATAAATACGTAGTTAACAACAATAGCATAGCATTATGTCTGTATAGTACTCATTTTCAAGCACTATTGAAAACTATGGTCACCTAATAGGGACTAACTTCTTACATTAACATACAAAAATATGTGAATGGTAAAAATTTGACATGATTATGCTGTTGCCAAATGGTTGTAAAAACCTCACTAGGATTTTCTCTTGTGTTGTGGATGCGTTTACAAACATACAATTTCACATACACAAGACATCCAGACTCCTCGGAATAACAATTTGTGGATCACACAAAGAGTTGTCCCGTGCGGGAATCGAACCCGCTACAGCCAGCCACCGCGCCAACGGAATTTACCAATATGTAATCAAAAACATGTTTGTTTTATGCCTGCCATTTGAAATTTACACTAGTAGTGTTACTCTATAAACGCCGCCAAAGAAAATTGATCAATAATATCGCAGAATTTGCTGATATCATTCTAACTTTTACGCAATTACCGTTTTTTTGGCTTGGTCTTTGACTAAACAGATTAGTATTTGAGCGTGTACCTGGAATAAAATGGGTGCTAAATGTTCAACAGCCACAAAAACTATACTTTTTCAAATATAATAGTAAGAAAAATAGACGACTATTTGCGTTGTGTCTGGTTTTAATGACTCGTTAGTGGTAGACACTTGGACCAAGCTGCATTTTTTATTATAGATCTTCTTTTTGGTTTATCTTTAGGTAGTGAAGCGACTTACTTTTATTAAATTATAAATTGACTTCTTTTATAGTTTGATATAAATATATTTTACAACAGTTTTTTTCACGTAACACAGGTGTGAAACATGCGGATCAGCATTCAGCCAAGCAGCCCACCTTAAGAACCACGCAAAAGTGCATTCCGGAGAGAAACCCTTCAAGTGTGATATTTGTACGGCTGCCTTTGCAGATAGATTCGCTCTAAAGAGACATCGAGGAATTCACGACAAATATGGTAAATGATATATTTCACATGAATACTCATAAAGTATTTTATCTTAAATAAAATAAAACTCTTAACATAATTATTATGCAGGTCAAACAACACCATTGCCCTCAAGAATACAACAAAACCAACAAGAGCAACAACAACAGCAAACTCAACAGAACAGTGAGCAACAGAACACACAACCAGCTGTGGAAGTGGAACTCCATGCTGAACAAACACTTTGAGCTTCATGTCTTCCTTGTGTTTTGAGATAATCCCACCCGTGTCATTGATTCAACAACATTGATGACAAAGATGTCAATAGCTCAAGCAACTATGACTGTGTGATGGCCAGAGACAAGTGATTGTGATATAAGATGGCCGAAGTGTATTCAGTGATCAATAGTATTTCTCATCAATAGATATTTCGAAAGATATACAATTTTAATATATTATATAGTTAACTCAGCGGCATAAATGACTTACATGTTATGTGTTCATGTAATAATAATACGCAGGTGATACAACATAATAATATTTAAAAGGTTTCCAATTATTAAAAGTTTGATTTGCATCCTAAAAAAGAAATAAAAGCTCCTGTTGCTCCTAGCAGTCCCTCTTAACACTGACATTTGGAGTGGCAACTTCCAATTTGTCATCCAAGTGCCAATATTTCTGAACTGGTCACTTCAGATTTGTACCAAAAGAGAATACTGGTATTTTTTCTTCTCTACGCAACTTACTTAATGTGTTCAAGAGGACTACTAGAAATAATCTCAATGATTGTTAAGCCTTTTGTTTGTATGATTGGCTGTGGAACACATTTTAATTTAAATGCTCCAGAATCAGTTGTGATTTTTTATCGAAACATTGTAAATAAATTGAATTCAGGTGCATCACTAAGCCTATGTGATTTAGTATTTGTAGCATATCCAAGAAATGTCAATGATTTTTTTTTGTTATAATGGAATATGGATGGGATGAACTTACTAATATTAGAAGCAATACTTTGTTACTATGTGTAGATGAATGGTTCTCTGCAATATTTTATTCAGAATAGTGGATAAACGATTTAATCTTTATTTTTATATATTATAGAAGTTAATTATCTAATACATTTTGAAGTAAGTGCAGCTCATCCAGAGGCACCCGCATCACAGTGATGCATTTTATAAGTTAAAACCTGGAATTTTTGATTATGAAATATAGTAAAATTTTTGTCTAAAACTTTCTTTTCATTATTGAGAACTTTTAAAATATAGATTTTGTCCTAATTTCCATTAAATACGAAATATTTAAAAAAATATGATGTTATTGTTTATACAAGAATAATTAACTTGTGCGAGTCTAAGAATATACGAGTAGGGCGTTATATACGCGCATTCTACGTGACTCTCATCTAGTGTGTTTGCTCAATAGTTGTATATAGGTATATTTATTTTCTAACGTTTGTTTGCCTTATGTGGGATAAACTGCAGCATAAACTTATCTTAAGGTCAAAGAGCATGGCAACTAATGAGAATAAAATTATAATCGACACCAAATATCTGCTAATGGCTTTACTAAATTTTACTAATATTCTTCATAGTTAACTAGCTACTCGCGCGGTTTTACCCGCTGCCCAGTTCCACGTGATGTTATATAGCACTCAGGAACATTGTAACTGTCTATCAGTGAAATAATTTTAGCAATCCGACCTGCGGTTCCATAGTTTATCCCTTACACACAAATTTTATCTCTTTATAATATTAGTACAGACAAAGATCTATTTTACTAGGATAGAAATTCAATTCTTTTATCACCTAGAGCGAAGGTATAACGCGCCCAGTCGGTGATCTGGACTCAAACTTGAATAATTGCTTAATTTTTTAAATATTTTATAGTAGACAGATACCTACCTACTTATTACATCATTTTTTACGTTTACATCTGGTCTATTTATATCACGATCTGCGTTCTGCCGTACTTATCCTTCGTCTAACGAGCATCTGATATAACGGTATAACAACCAATTAGGTAACTAATCCTATGAGTGTAACCTTTGATTTAGATCCCTAACCCTTGCAATATTTTTTCTTAGGTAGGTACCTGACTAGCCTTACCTCATTTTTCTAATGTAAGCATTGGTTTTGTTTTCTGTCAACCCCCATGAGGTACACAGGGGCGTGAGCTTATTCACATTACTCCGAAGATACTTTCTGTACCTTCAGAAATAAGAAATTTTAACTAAAATAGGTGCGTATAAATTGTTTACACAGTTTTAACAATGAAAGGCCTTGGATGGACATTCAATATGCAAACACCACAATACATTAGATACATACACACTTACTGAACGTAAGTTTCAAGGTTAGCAATGTTTCAATTTTGTCAGGGAAATTTTATGAAATAAAAAAGGCTATAGATTAGATTATGAGTTTTTAATATATATCACTGAATGTAAACTTAAAAGCATTAACTAACCTATTTACACGTGGTAAAAGGTTATAACACTTATAAACGGAATTATGGCTATAATTTATTCATAAACCCAGTTTTCGGCAGCCGGCGTCCACCCGACGACTTCTTTTTCTCCAAACCAGAGTGCGATTTCCTTGTTGGCGGATTCAACACTGTCGGAACCGTGAATAATGTTGCGGCCAACTTGAATGCAGAGATCGCCACGAATAGTGCCGGGTTGAGAGTCAGCTGGGTTGGTAGCTCCAAGCATCTGACGGCCGGTCTTCACAGCGTTCAGGCCTTCCCATACCATGGGAACTACGGGTCCGGAGCTCATGTATTTAACTAGACCAGGGAAGAAGGGCCTGGACGCTAAATCGCTGTAGTGTTTCTGTAGCAACTCTTCCGAGGGCCACACGAATTTGAGGCCGACTAACTTGAATCCCTTCTTCTCAAACCGTTCGATGATGGTGCCAACAAGTCCACGTTGGACACCATCAGGTTTAATCATGATGAAAGTTCTTTCACGTTGTTCCGCCATTATGACTTTTATTAACGTGTAGCCGGCGCGTCTGAGATTGATTAAAAGGTAGAGCAAAGTGGCAATCATACGAAAAAGTATGAATTCGCAGCGCGTCACAAAATCAACCACAGAATATATATACAATTTATAGTTTCGTGTACATCTATAATTAGGCGCGATAAGGATTTTTGTAAAAACGAAAAGTTAAAATATAAGGTCTTTTAGGGTCATAAAATTGTAACGTAGTTTTAAACTCAATTGAAAATAAATTATCGTTAGATATATAACAAAAATTACGCAAACGTTTTCAATTTCGGTGTCTTTTTAAACTTTTTAGATGCCATATCGCGTTTTTGTGTAAAATCGATATTTTCTTCTATTCGTGTTGTAGCAAAATCGATAGCAAAAGCAACTCAATATCCTCGTTCTCCATAACAATGTTACTAAATAGTGCTATAATTGCCAAGGAGCTTATTTTTCTATTAAAAGATATTAATATTATTTATTATCTGGATTTATTTTAAAATAAATTTGCATACTCTAAATTTATTATTTTTATTTGCCAAGAAAGGGCTAGAGCTCTTAAGTTATTAGCGTACACGTATAAACCTACCCTTTATAAGTCTGTGGTTCTATGTATGCGAGACGAGCTCATTATTTGTATTTATCGTAACAAACACAGTTTAAAACGTGATCATTAACAAGACCGCATGCTTGCATAAATGCGTAACAAATTTTAGAGCCCACAAACTTAAAACCTCTTTTTTTCAAAGCTTTGGATAAAGCGACAGATTCTGGTGTTTGAGCAGGGACATGCGTTTGGTCTTCCCAACTGTTAATAATAGGTTTTTTATTTACAAAACTCCAAATAAAATTGGAAAAATCTTCACCTTCATTTTCCATTTTTAAGTAACATTTAGAATTGTTTATTATTGAATCTATTTTTCCTTTATGCCTAATAACTCCAGATTCATTTATAATTAATTTCACGTCCTTTTCCGTTAATTCTGAAATTTTGCGAGGATCAAAATTAAAAAATATCTTTCGATAATTTTCTCTCTTCTTCAATATTGTTAACCAAGATAACCCCGCTTGTTGGCCCTCTAAACACAACATTTCAAACAAGGCGTCGTTTTTAAATTGTGGTTTGCCCCATTCTTCATCGTGATATTTTATGTATATTGGGTCTTTTGTTAACCATCCACATCGGATAATTTCATTTTCTGTCATTGTCACAATCACACGTACTCTTTGTTTGTAAACGATACGAATATTATAAATATGTTTTACTAACTTCTCCCAAAGATTAGAGTAGGTACACAAGACACAACACTACTACCTGCTGCTCCTACAGATCGTAGCGTGATGTTTTATATAGTCTTCCTCGAAAAATGGACTATCCAACACAAAAAGATTAAATTTGTTCAATTCAACAAAGTAATTTGAGAGATTAACGCTTTAAAACAAACAAAAAAACTATAGAACTATAGTTTTTGATAAATATTATAACATAACCTAAAAACTCTTTCATACTACCATAGACAAAATAGGTATTCCAGTCGATATTTGCACATTTTTTAATTTTGGTTCGATCAACAAGTTTTTCATGTGTAAACAAGTTCTTAATGATCGACATTAAGAACTTGTTTACACTGTTTTTGCATTGAGCAAATAAAAAAAAATTGGACTTTGTTTGTTTACGTCAAACTAAAACTTCTGATGACCATCGACATCGATGGCGTAAACGTAGTGGTTACATACTCTTTGATCGATGGGAGGAGGACTGTCTATTTCTCTATTCTTACACCCCTTGACTCGGTATGTGCATAGTCCGCTGAAATTAGTTAAATTGGGGTGGCGCTACATAGCAACAAGGTAAATTTTCTTGAAAGAGTTTCAACTGTTATCTACCTAGGTCTGTCTGTCTGTCTGCGGACCACATAAGACAGTTCTCTTGTAATTTACCCTCCATACATTTATTTCGGATGTGCCCATGATTTGAAATAATTATTTACACTAGCGCGAGTTTTAACCTTAATTGCGAATCTTTATTTTTGATGAACGTAATCATTTCATAGAAGAAATAAAAATTTAAATATCCTGCTTAGGTACTTTAAATTCAGTTGTTTAATTCGATTTCTAATTATTTCATCTAAGTAGTTATGTCAGCTACCGGAGTTATGGCATGGAACTCGGGTAGCCAAGATCTATGTATAAAAGTGCTTACAGATATGTTTTAACGCTTACGGGTTTAAAGGCAAATTACAAAAACATAATATTCGTATTATACATGAAAAAGCAGGATTTTTTAAACATATTTCTCTATAGGCATTCTTTAAACCAAGAAAAACATAAATGTAAGCACGTAATGTTCGAAAAACCAAGTTCAATCATATAAACTAGGTGTATTTAAATTTAAATATCCTGTACAAACGAGCCATTTGGGGCCACCATATACTTTTGATAGTCGCGACTGATGATTACATCTGTGAGGTTTAATATATCTTCGTGTTTGGGGTCCGGATACCAAGCTGTTTACAAGCCTTATATTTTCATCACTTAGTGTACCTTCAGATATTTGTTGCAATAGTGGTATATATTCTGGTTTTGATAGTTCGTTTGTTATGCGCATCATCTGGAAAATATCAAAGTATGTTTAATTTTAGTATTCAAATCGATTTCCGTTAAGGCAACCTATCTCAATCGCAACAAATTAGAATTAAGACGTGTGCGCTCTTACTGTAGGTAGTCTACTGTCTATAAATGCGATAAGAAAATAATCAAAACACAATTGGAGAGAGATTAGACATAGGACCAAGAACGCTTAACGTACTTCTGTTGAATTTGTCTTGTGATTATACACTGTGTCTTGTGTTTTTATTTGCATTTCTGTCACAGACAGACTGACTCTTTAATTAATATATGTATCAGAATTATGTGTACATATAAATAAATTAATAAAATAGTTTGCCACTTTCCAGCTACAATCAAACCGTCAACACCCAGCTTTTCAGTTCTCCACTACCTCAAATGTGTAGTACCTACAACACAACTTATTCCTAAATGTATATGAATTTACGTACCACAATTTTTAGTTGAGCTTCTGAAAGTGGTGTCGCTATGGGTCCCAGTAACATGACACTGCTGTTTAAGCCAAGGCTCTCCGGATCAACAGATATGAGGCCATCGTCACTTCCATTACTCTTAATTTCGTCATTTATTATTAAAAACATGTGTTCGTTTGGGGATGTTGTGTGTGAGTATTTGTGTTCGGGCATGTACGGTTTCGAAATTATTGGTTGCGGCATTATATCATTCAACAAAGCCTTGAGCTTTAATTTATTTTTATTATTCTTTTTGGATGGCTTATTTCGTTTGCAACAAAGTGTTTTCAATTGTGCAACGAGTACATCAAATAACAATTCTTTCTTCTCATCTTCATCATCGTTATTCGTATCTGGTTCCACTTCAGAAGGATGACTGTACAATAAGTTGTTTATTTTTTGCACAGCTACGTACTGGGGATCAGCACCTCGGTTAGAAGCGAATGGATCTACTTCTTTATTATCTAATCGAAAGAATGGTCCATCCTGTTTAGGTTTCTCTAAACTTGTTAAAATTTTCTTTTTTTTCTTTGGAGTCTCAAATACGCCGTTAAACTGCGCGAGAGGCTTATTTAAGACATTCTCTTTTTCTTTTGCCGGGACTAAGTTATTCGTATATTTAGTAGCCAGTTTCGCGATGTCTTTTATATTATATTCAGCTTTACTTGGTTGTTCATTTAATAACTTAATTAACTCGTCATCAGGTAATTTTGAAAGAAGATATGTTACGTCGTTATCTGAAAAATGCGTTATTTTTATGAATTATATCCTTTAAAAATATTACTTGTACTTATATGAAATGTTCGCATCCCGTGTTTTGTGAATTCATTACAACTATGTTGGTCAGTTTGAAAATAATAATTGAAACCGTATATTTATTTACCTAAATTAAAGTAAATAGAGTTATTGAAATTTAATTAGGATGATGCTTCAGCGATTGGAACTTTACTGGAGTTGACGTCGCAAGTGCAGCTAGTGCAAAAGATAGGAATATATTGACTAAAGTAAAATATACCTACAGATCTATAGTAAATTAACTTACCCATATCTTTTAGTACAGATGTGTTTGGCAAACTTTTTTGATTTGGTAAATCCTTGTCGTTTGGCACGAACCCTTTTGTAACTAAATATTCTGCTAAATCGTTATTCCACTCAGTGGGATATGGTGATGGATTCTTATCTGCTATAAGAGACATTGGAACCACTGAATGTATCTGAAAAAAATTAAACTATAAACACCAAGGTTTAGTTTCACAATGAAACTTCTAGTGCAGAATAATATGTCTTCTCGTGAGTAGATAGGTACTACAAATCTATGTAAGTGCATAAGAATGTATAATTATTAATATTGGATGACATAATAATATTTATTATTAACCAGCTAAAACGATTATGTTATTTACTGCATTGTATTCGAATACACTTACCCAATATGAGAAAATGAGTATCTTAAATTCATTAAAATACGAAAACATGTTTTAGCGAATTACGGTGAAAGCAATATGCGGTCAACGCAAGTTTAATTTTACAGCTGAATGCTCAATAGCTTCTTTCTCATAAAAAGTAGTTACCTATCTTCTTATTGTTTACGAAATTAACAATGAACAAGCGCTCGTTAAAAAGTTTACGATAGCGATAAGAAGATTCAGTCATGTTGAATGTTATGTTTTAGCATGTCAAGGACTTGTTGAGTTTTTGTTCTTCTAAATAACAATTTGCACTTGCAGTCTTTATGTAGGTATTTGATATAATTGGTGGATATTTAGAGATTTGCTTTTTCCGGTAATCACTAGTTCCCGGTGTGATGTATGGGCCAAAGAAACGCCATAGCACAGTATGACGAAAAATAAATGTTTATCAATATTTATATCAATAAGCATTTAACTAACTCAGTACCACTATAGTGTGTCTTTGGCTGGCAGTGTGCATACCGGACAGTATGCTGCTAGCCGAGCAGAAGGTTTTAGTTTCAGGATTAGTTACACGTGTCAGGACAGTTATTATTTATTACCAAATTGTAATTTCTGAAAATTCCTCAGTAGTAACAGCACACTCGATTCGTAACTGGTAACAGTAGGTAGGTATTGACATTACATTGTTCAACCTACTCCTTCGGGCCCGCGCGTGCTACAAAGATCCCATAGACCACCGGGTTCAGCCGGGGTTGCGGGGTTAGTGCAAAGTGGCAAAGTGGCCTCTGTACAAAACAGAAGAAGAAATGGGGGCGGGGGGAGGGTTTAGTCAGTTGGAAACTGACACTCTCTCGCATTACCACGTGCGAGAGAAGCCGTTTGATGATTTTCCCCTGACAAAAAAAACAAAACCCTTCTTCTTCGGGAAATCAAATTTGTGACAATTTTATTTTAATATTCTGCTATAACTGACAGGGATCTTACAAAGTTTTTTGTAGCAAAGAAGCTGGTATTCAGTGACCATAACAAGAAAAAAATGCCCACCGTTTTGTTGACATTTGTCACGAAAGATGTTGTCAATGTTGTCATTGGATGACATTGACAGTATATTGTTTGTATTTTGTAATTTGTTTTATCGTCGCACAGCCGTTGAATAAAATATATAATAGCCGTTCTAATTTAACAAACTAGTAAAATGAATATTCCTTTTCCAGTTTTAACTCCACGTTTAGTAGATCCCTTGTGGTTTAACGCAGACAGTCCTTGTGACGAAGAAACTGAACTAACTGCTTTGGAACAAGCAAATCAACTTTGGGTTGGCATTTATTTTGCTACTGCAATTCTGTTCTATACATTGCTGGTGCTGAACGTTAATTTTAATTGAGTTTATCGTTACACATCTTTTGTGGTAAAAGCTTACAAATTAGTTGTCATTATAAAAGTAGTAATTAATTAGGGTATATCTCAAAAGCTAATACTTCGGATAAATATTTTATTTTCAACATTTCTAATCTCATATATTGTACTTCTAGTTGAATTCAATTGGCCAGCAGTACATGAAGCGCGCACCACTTGGGAAAGCTGATCCTGAGCCTATGGAGGAAGAAGCAGATACAGATGAAGAAGAAGGTACTTTTTGTAATATTCTTACAAACATCTGTATATAATCTTTTTTTTAAATCAACTTATTGTTCTGGTCCATTTAGATGCTTCCTGTTACTTGGAAAATACCAAGACTGTTGAAAAATGTGTTAGGTTCCTTCTATTGGTGAAATTGGTAGAATATTTGCATAATTCAACAAAAGAATTACCCGTCCAGGATTATAGAACTATTGTACATAGAAGACTTTATAGGAAACATCTAGAACCATAAGTGATTATATTTGTTTTTAAAAAAATGATGATAGGTACTGCCTTGTGGATGCATTTAAAAAAACAAAATACAAATTCATGTTACAGGTAATGACGAATCTGATGAGTCTGAGGAATCTCATGATGAGGATGAGGAGGAAGATGTCCCAGCATCGTATTCCCCTGCTCGCAACAACAATGAGTTGGAACCAGACAGCTTGGACGATCTCAATGATGGAACTGATCTCAACAGCTCAGACCAAAGTGCTCTTTGGCCCATACAATAGTAACATAGTTTATTAAAATAAGGTCACATTTTATAAATCACTTAAGTTATATCAAGGGGAGGTTTAACTATCTGCTAGTCACTTGTCATATTTTCCTATATCTCATGTAATGTGCCTCTAAGTGATGTTAAATATATACAGAACAGTACCATGTATAAGATTTGGATGGATTCTTATCCATTTCATCTCATGCATAGTTTTTGACTGCACATAGGTATTATCAATTTATGAAATAAACTTTTTATATGTATACTGCTCTTTCAATATCGATTTTGTCTATTGTATACTAATATTATAAAGAGGTAATATTTTTGAGTTTGTATGTAGTGGGTAATCTTTGTAACTTCAAATCTTTGCACTGGTTGGATTTCCATAATTCTTTTACTGATAGATAGCTACAATGTTCCTGAGTGCTAGAGGCTATATATTATACTTGATTTGCGTATTTTGGTCGAGTCGCTATAACCGCTGCGTTTTTTTAAACCTCGAGATTCATTACTTTTCCAAAGCCACGGGCATAAGCTAGTAATTACATACTTATGTATACACAGATTCAATTTCCTTGTAGTTATTTTTCTATTGTAAGTATAATAATCTTACAACTGAACAAGTAGCACTATGACATTGAAATCTGCCTGTGTACACAATTGGCTATTTGACTAAAGTAAAAGTTTAGGAAAAACAGTCTATATCAAGTTTGCTTTCTTATATCAAAAATAAAATATTCTTTTTTAACTTGTTTTAAGAAATTATTTTTATTTGGATACAACTTCCTAGTATATTACTATAATCTATGTATCTTTAGCAGTGGTTATGTAGGGTGAACGGAAGTGTAGCGCCTCTATGCGTTATAGTGCGAATTTCATTAAAATAAAAATTATTATAATAATGCATTTTATGAAAAAGACAACTGTAATGGTGGACAACAAGAATTTTGCATGGGTTAAAATATATGTTTCAAAACATTCAACAATTACAATAAATTTATTAAGGAATTTACACTTTTTATATGAAAGAAGATGTTTTAATTTAATAATAAATTTTAATAATTAAATCTTATTTATAAACAAAAACGTAGTTATAAGTTAGCAAACTAATAGATCACTTCAATAAAATACTGGTTTAAAATGCACTGGTCAAATCTATAATTACGTTAACCACTCTGGTTAGTAATGGTCTTATATTTTCGGGGGACACAGTCTTCCATTTCTTTTTAAGACATTTTTCAACGAAGTCATGTGTATTTTTTGATACTGTAAAAAAAAACAATAAGGTATTAATACTTTACACATTACGAAAAAGGTCCTTCAAGCAATTTTATCGTAATATTTAGTAAGATCTATTTTGTTATTGATTGAGTAGTAGTAACACTAGCAGTACTGTCAAGTAGGGGATTTCATGGATTTGGTTCCCAGATTGCTATTGTGCACAGTTAAGAAATGGTAATAGGCCCACCCTTTGTTATGTAATGGGACAGGATTACAACATCACATAGAATGTGTGTTACACAAACATGCTTGTATGCCCACCTCTTTCAAGATTAGCTTATAATAAACTTATTTTATTTACCTGGCGTATTTGAACAATTTGCCTTATTCAGTGTGAAAAATATAGCACTCTTTTTGACGAGGGGATCATATTCATCGCAGTAGTAGTGGAATGCCATGGCCAGATCTGAAGGTACTGCATCTACTTCTTTGACGAGCATCACACCAGATCTGTTGACATCATCTCTGTACCTCGAGATCAGCTCTCCATGCTCGTGCATATCCAAGTTAGAGCTTTCTACGACTGTATGTCGTATGGAAGACATTTCACTACCTGAATTGGTAAAAATATAGAAAATTCAGTAATGCTTACATTAGAAAAATTATGTGCAATAGACAACTGAGCAAGCAAAATATTTACATGAAATAATTTCGACGTTAATGTATTTTTTTAAACATCGATGATCTACACCATAATGTTTTCCTTTGTTGTGGGGGCAGTGGGTGCGATTACAAACATACAATTTCACATACGCATCACCCTCAAAACGGAACAACAATTTGTGGATCAAAGAGTTTTTCCGTGCGAGAATCGAACCCGCGAGACATTGCACGGCTGCCGGTTGCTCAGCTACCGCATCACCGTACAACTTACAGTACAAAGTACTTAAAATCTCTTTCTTCCCTTACAGTCGTGAATGATGTGGCTCTTGTTATAATTGGGTGTTTTCTTAGGTCAAAAATAAATTATTTTTATTTTAAATACAATTATTTTTAAATTATAATCATACTTAGTTTCATTAATTGCTTTGACGATATACTCAATACAAGATTTTATCTTCTTAGCTTTAAAAAAAAAAGGATTCTGTTTGATGTAAAATCATAACGTTTGTTGATTTTTTTTTGTCTTTTTTGTGAGGGGAAAATCATCGAAAATGTTATACTCTTACTGACTAAAAACCCCCCTGTTCCTTCTCCTGCTCTGGGCCGAGGTCGCGGTGCCTCATTGCGCTTACAACGTTTGTAGGTTGGGATCTTAATAAAGTAATAAATTGGAATAGATGGTAAACTCCGAATTGTGTACTTACTAGCGTAAGAAATTTATGCAATAATAGGAACAATGGTTATTGTATTGAATTATTAATGATTAATGATCATACATTATCAGAAGAATAGACGGAGAAACAGTTAATGGCTATTAATTTATCATTTGCACCAATTTTTTTATTAATGTTCATGTTTGCAAGGTACTGTTAATGTTGCAGTCACTGAGTCACTCTGCCTCGTTGGGTCAGTGACCGCAGGTGAAACTGCCGACTAAATAGTCGCTTTGATCAGCAGTGGTTTTTTGTTACCTAAGTTCTGTTTTAACATGGGAGTCTGGAATCGTGCCTATGGCAGTAAACTTTAATTTTTCTGAGGGTCTGCGGACGGTGAGCTATCCCTGTTCACTGGTACCCTACCTGAGCGTACAGCACGTCGCGTTACAGATTGGGCTATACTAAGGCCGATATCCGGGCTAAGTTTCTAGTGTAAGCTCAATATGTACCGCGACATCGGAGCAAAAGCAAACGGATGAGGATTCAGTAAGAGTCTGACACTCTTGCCCCACCTAGTGCGGGAGAAGCCTTTCTATGAAATTTAAACCCTCAAATAAAAAGGCTAACATTATTCATTGCCACGGTAAACTCCTATCCCTACCTTTATCAGCCTTAAAAACTGTTATTAAACAAACTTACGTAAATACTTTGCAGCAGTATAAGCAATTTCGTCTGTAAACTTGCCGAATTTAACAGCATCGAAATTGTTCTTCTTGTCGTTATAAACGAAAATGAAAGACCCTGAGTCCATCCGTGAGATTATTGTTGATATTCCTGAAACATTGGAAAGGAAAATTAACAATATACATTTTATATTATATATATTATAACTAGTGAGCTTTGCACGGGTGTTATACTGATTCATCCATCTTTCTATTATGTTTTGTAGTGATTAAACTGTTATAATATTATTCTAGCTATGCTATTAAACTGCCGCCAGCCATGGAGGGACAAATTGGTCGCTAATTATTCTTTTGGAAAACCCACTCTTATGAATAGAACTTTTGGTTAAAAGTGGACATACCACATTGATACACACTACAAAAACGGTAATAATAGTTAATTGGAAGGATTTTTTGTCCTATCAATAATTATACACATACATACAGGGTGTAAAAAGACACTTAACGAAGCCGTTAACTACGCATACTGCAGTTCTAACTAGGTAGCTTTACGCAAAAATTATCACAGGGAAACGACTTTTATTTTTAGGTATCAAAAAATATAATAATTTTATTGCGCGCAATGTAAAGCAAACGGGCTTCGTGTCATTGTGTGCGTAGGTTCACAGCTTAGCATTAAAACGCTGTGATAAGTACGTAAGTCGACGTTTTACTTCGCAACAAGAAAACATTTCTGTAAAATAAAAATGCTACCGAGATGCACGATGTTTTTTGTGTGGGTCTGCATTTATTTATTACGTACATTACTGTTCGTAACTTCAAATGCGTAATTTATTTAGAAAAATTGAAAATTCAGGTAATGTTTGTTTGGAAAAAGTTTTGTAATAATACTTAGAATTCGATTGTGCAAAAAAATAAAAAATAAAAATCCATCTTTGACTTTCAATATCTCGAGAACCCGTGGACTCCCAGCTATGGTCTTAAAGAAAATACGTGGCTTTCGGCTTCGTTAAGTGTCTTTTTACACCCTGTATTAAGCTAAAAAGTGATCTATTTGTCGAATAAATGTGTTTTCTTTCTTTCTTATCTAACAGATGTCTTAAAACTTACCACTTTTTAATTGTAGAATGGAATCATCATCAATATTATATTTCAGCTGGAGATTCCTCAAATTATTTTCAAACTTAATTTCATCATAATTGGTTTGTGTTGATTTTTCTTCAGTTTGGATGATTGTTTGATCTTTTAATACAAAGTAGGTGAATACAGCTATAAGACCTAAGAATATTGGAAGTATAATGCTTCGAGATGTGTTGTCCGGTTGGGGTTGGATATTATCTCTTGAAATGGACAACTTTCTTTGGAGGGGTGATGATTGACCTTGTTGTGTGCTAACATTACTTCTATTTTTCACAGAGTGGTAACTCTCATCTTCTGCTCTTGACTTTAATAAAAAGTTTGAATAGCTATCTTCACCCTCAGATTCATCACTGTAATGGATATGTGGTGGAAGGGTTACAGGTAAAGATTTTGAAAGCACATTGCTGCAAATGAAACACATAATAGACTTCACAAAAGCTTGTCATAATATTTGCAAACAAACAATTGAATGATTAGAACAAGGTGATGATGATTATGTGTTAGGATTAGCAGCAATGTGATTTTGAATGCTTATGAATAAGCCATATATAAAAATACACCCATTAATAAAAGTTAAATTTTAAAATCTTATAAGTAATTGAATTAATGAGTAAAGTTAACAGACAAGTTCAGACGACAATAAGTGGTGGTGTTAAAGTTTTTTGACAGACACTAAAAACTATAAATTCAAAACAACAATCTGTTGGTTTTAAGTTAAATGAATTTTGAAAATTCTCAAGTTACTAGTGGAGGTGTATTATGAACATCTTTTTTATATTTAAGCTAATGTTTGTACAAGTGTACATAAGTTCTATATTGTTAGTAAAATATATTCTTATACAAAACAGTTTCATCCCAATACCAGTTGAATTTTAGTAATATTGACTATATATAGGTATATTACTGTAGTCTTTATCAATCTATTATCCAGCATAGGTAATAAATTCATGCTATGATAGGTAACAAACACTATATGGTAGTGTCTAATCAAACTCATACTCATAATAGTCAAATTCAATACTTTTATCCAAATGTCAGAAACAATATGAAATTTGTATGAAAAACTGAGTTATGACGTCATAACATTTTTACATCAAATAGCTTACTCATTCCTTAATAATTAGCTAAAAAAATCTAAAACTTAGTGTATTGATCAATTGATGAATAAAAGTATTGTTATTTTTCAATATTTTATTGTATTGAAATGTTGAATTAATTTATTTTTGACCTAGGAAACTATGCAATTGATGTCCTCTGGTAATGTGTTAATGGACAGTGTAGTTAAGGGTTTATTATCACATGACAAGCTTGATGTTGCATGTAACATGATACAATATTAATAACTCACGTAGTATTTTCATCCAAATTATCCTCATCCTGTGAATAAGAATTAGATCTTTGTATCCTTTTACTTCGTATTGGTAGTGGACTTGATTGACGAGCCATTTTGCTGAAAACATTGTTTAATGATAACTGCTATTTAATGGATTTCCTCATATTGTAATTCAATATCAATGATGAGGAAAACATGGTTTTGTTGTGGTAATTTTTGCACTTGAATCTATACAATGATATCTAATTGTTTTAGACCAATATCACTACTATATTGGCATAAAGAACCTTAAAAGTGTACAGTAAAAAAATTTTGTGATGTAGTCTATATTAAAACTAGCACAAAAATATCTATTCTAGAAAAAGTATTTGTAACTTTATATTTTGAATATTCTGAATTTTAATAGGTATCAGTTAAAGACTGCTATTGTTAAACAAATGAAATGAATTTAACAAATTGTCTCTTACCTCATTACATTGTCCACTTCATCCACTCCTTTATCAACCAGTTCTGATCCATTTTGGTCAGTGGGTAGTCTTTGGCAAATAGATTTGTTCAGCCCATACCGACCCATTTTTTCATTTGATCTTAACTTATCGTCGTTTTTATAGCTGTGAATACTCTTTCGAGCTGACGGCTTGATAATAACCCCCCCAGAGTTCTGAAAATTAATTGAATACTTATTTCATGAAAATATGACCATAAATTCATGTTCGGATTTTATTCATTAATTTTTTTAGCTTCGAATATCTGTGCAAAATGCACCCTTTTAAAATATCCCGAATTTCAAACAACCAGACAAAGTACTTAACATGAACAATTTGATTTTCGTAACTGCGCCCATGAGTATACAAAATAATTGATAAAAATTGATTTTACTTAGTCTATAAATATTAAATACGAAAATTACCCCTTTTGTAGACTCACTATTCATTTATTTGTTTGTATAACACACTTTCTAATAATAGTAAATAGAAAGACATACGTCGTTTTAATGAAGTTTGACGTCTGGTAGGTACCCATTATCATTATTATTGTAGGACTGTGATTACCATAGACTATACAATATTTTTTTTTGGAGTTTATGGCCTGGAAAAAGATTCTATACAATCGATACAAAATATACTGCCCATTATTTACAGATACCCGTACGCCCATTACCATAGTCTATAAAATCCCATTACCCCTTAATCCTCAACACAATAATGCACAGATGCCTATATAGACTATCAGGTTTTAGTAATCTGAAATAAGTATAGGGTTAGGGTTGATTCTCTGACTAGTCTTTTCTAGAATAGAATAGTACCTAAACTTTATTATTTTTTCTTCGATGGCAATTCAATAAATTCGCCATTATAAGTAGTGTTACAATTTTATTTTTAAAAGAATCATACCAAATATTGTAAAATCTGCAAGCTGAAGCAATGGGCAGGCTACGTCACTCGAACACGGACGGCTGATGGGTCCGAAAAGACTAAGGAGGAGGCCTTTGTTCGGCAATGGAAGTCATCCAGTTGATGACGATATCAAATATTGTATTTTGCATTTTGCCTAGATTTAAGGAAATATGATTGTACGCAGTAGAATTTTTCGAACTTCTTCGATACTTCGCAACTCAAATAAAAACTGAGCTTTTTATAGATTTTTCACTGATTCAAAATAATTATTGTTTTAGTAGAGATTTATATCGGGGTGAAGGTGGTCCAGAGGTGAGGGCTCTCAAGTACAGACTCGAAACCGTGTTAGTAGTTAATGTAGTGTTTGTATTTTCTCGGTCTCATTACAAAACAAGGTTTTCCTTTAGTCCAGGTCTGGTTTTCCATGAACCATTGAGTCAGTTTTTGTACGGCAAAACCGGGTGAATGGACAGAAGAGGGGTGAATATATAATAGGAAAATTCGCCACCAATTCCCTATTCGTGTCTCTTTTCACCCCTCAATCCTATTCACCCTGTTTTACAATTGAAGATACGTCAAAGAATCAAAATTCAAAACCTGACTGTAATGGGGTAATAAGGGGGTTTTGGGCTATTTCTTAGGCAACAGAAAAGACAGTTACTATTCGCATTAGTTATTATTAAGAAACTTTTGTTTATTAAGAGTTTAATTCTACGCGTTAAGTACACAACCAAGTGACCAAACTTGGACAAAATAAAAAATTTTACTATGACGTAGGCATGTCTTTAGTTAAAAGAAAAAGGTTGTTGGCATTTTTGGTTTTTCAAGTCTTCTTGACCTGTTTTTAATTTCCGTTTACGGAAAATTACGTAGGTATCTACTATACTAAATCATACATCCATGCCCACTAACTACTGACAAATCAAAGATCCTTCAACTGCATAAAGCACGTTCAAAAGATACGAGTTGCAAATACTATATCTTGAAGAAGAATATCATAGAAAATACATAAATAATTGGAAATACACTATAATAAACACTATTATAAGTCACGGGAAATTTGCACAATTTTACAATAAATGAGAAAGGCTTCAATAAAGTACAAAGATACACAAAAATGCTGTAATAATATGCGCAGGGGTTGATGTAGTGATTTCTCTCGAATTCGTCATTTTATGAAGACCTTGTGTCCTCCTAGCCGGTTGTGCCGGATAAGCCACTAGTGGAATTGGTTCTTGCTCATCATTCTTTTTTATTTTTTCATCTAGCCACAACTTAAATGCATATGTCGGTAAAACATCAACCATCCTTTTGTTTACAGCGTACATCGATGACATTTCCTTTGAACATTCCTCTTGACCTTTGATTACAATACCCATAAGCTCCTTATCATATAAAACTGGACCACCAGTATCTTTGAAACACGTTGGTACCTTTGTTTCAACGCAATCAAAATAAAGTTTCAAAACGTCTATTACTTCTTCCGGTGAACGGTTTTCCATACCAACATATTGCAGTTCTTTCATTTGTCCAACTTCTGCATTTAATCCAAATCCTATCCCTTCTAAGTCAATGACATTGCGAGGATTAGTGTAATTGCTAAGGTTTATTTTGGTTGCAATGCTGTTATTAAGTTTCGCCGTGTATACAACACCAACGTCTTTTGGAGAGTCTGGCCCAGTATAAGTAGGAAATCGTTCAGTTTTTATCACATGGAGCGACACAGTTGTATCGTCTTTTTTATCAGTTGTAGTATTTAATAAAATATAACTTAGTGGTAGTTGAGTACACTGCGCTGTTGTTAATATTAACCCATTAGCGACCACTACACCAGAACACAAGTATTCGTTTTGTTGAGACATTATAGCAGCCATGAACGGAAATTGGCGATGACCTGCTGGTAGTATTTCGTGCATTCGACTATTCTGTCTCCTGGTGCACGTTATATTGGCGGGTTCACTTTCCACGGGAATGTCCAGGCTTTCGTCTTTGGACTCATCGTTTGTCTCTCCGTTGTCATCTCTATTATCATCAACGCTCTTCTTCACATTTTCACCAGCACACGAAGTAATAAAACTAAATACAAATACAATGGGAATTAGAAAATAAAGTAAAATTGATCTAATCTTCATCATCAAAATTTGCTTTTTCCCTAGAGGAATTCTAGTTCTTTTTTCGTATCTATCATGTCATGATTGTTTCCTTTATTTCACATTTTTTAAACTGCCAGTAAAATTTATCAATTGTAGTTTCGTATCCTTTATATATAACTCTAGAATATTTACAAACCGTGTAGAGTATTTTTTAAATTATCCATTTCAACTTACCGTTAATGTTTTAATTAATTTAATTGGCAAGTTTTAGCTGGAATTATTACCTCAATGGTTGGATTTTGGTCTTCGTGACATAACTTTATAAAACTTTTGAACGGATAGGTAGTGCGAGTTTTCTTAAAATTTATTTCGTTACATATGTTGTTCGGGGCTCTGAAGTATCTGTTCGAATGGATAGCTGTTTAATGGAGACAATACTTAACGTTCCGTCTTTCTCTCTCTCTCGAGCGTAGGCAGAATTTAGGAACTATATAATACTACCGAGTGTACTTATATAGAATACTAGCTCTCAAATATAACTATTGGTTTTAAACCTTCCCTGGACTTCCACGAATAATTCAAGAGAAATCGGTAAAGGCATTGTTGAGTTATAACAATAAAAGAAAAAGTGGCATTGATTTTTATATGTATAAGATATATATTTCTTTTAGAGTCATAGTTTCGTCCATTCTTTAAAAGAATGACATGTTAAACATGTTTGAACGCTCTTATTTTAGATCTAATTTTAGCATGCACTTTTTGATCTCTGCATACCCTTTTTTAATTTATTTAGAGGGGTACTCCGTAGTTGATCAAATGATTCTTCACGCCTTTGGTGAATCGAACTAATCTGATCAGTTGCTGGCACCCTTATATGTTGCATATTGCATAAGTTTTATCTACAAATGAGAGTTTTCGTCACAGCTCAAAATATATGTAATTTAATGTACGGTGGGTAGCCTTATAAATAATAATAATAAAAATAAAATAACTTTAATTCAGACCGTAGTCCATTTTATATTAGTAGGTACTCACACACCTTAAAAACTATGTTAGTGAAAAATAAAATACAGAAAGACCTTAATTCAAATATCTGCTGCGTACATTCGACACACCCATGAATGTACATGCATCCAGTGTGCCAAAATGGCGCAACTCGGCTTATCACTAATGACCCTCAGAATGCAGTTGCCTCTCCCACGCACTCTGCGCATCATGGACGCTACTCGCTTTCTTATGATGGCTTTAAAACCATCAAAATGTGTGTCAGCAAACATTCCTGATGCACTGCAGTAGCGTGGGAGCCCCAACAACATCCTGGAGGCATTGTTATACTGAACTTTGAGGGCGTTGTATGCCCGCTGCGTATACCGAACCCACAGGGTGCACGTGTACAAAGACTGGCAGAATGCCTTAAAAAGCGTTAATTTCACTTTTGGTGTACAACGTGCAAACCTGCGGGACAACATATTGCATCGGACACCCAACGCCCTCCGCTTTCTTTCCATGTCATCGTCATCTTTCAAAGACTCTGTCACTATGTGCCCTAGGTACCTACTTAAAGTTTAAAACCCTCTCAAGGGCCACACCGTTCATCGTAACTGGCGGTACGTGGGCTGGCTTTTTGTGTCTGACTTTGAAAACTAACAATTTGCTTTTCTGTACATTATACACAAGTCCGTGCTTTTCTGCATAAGCCTCACAGACCGCCAATAACCGTCTGAGTGCACTGACTAAGGGACTCAGCAGTACCATGTCGTCCGCATAACTAATACTATTGACAAAACGACCGTTAATAGAACAGCTGACATGTGTACTGCTGAGCTCGGCAATCAACTGATTTAGGTACAGGCGCAAGAGCGCTGGCGAGGTCACCCCCCCCCCTGCCTCACCCCGCACTCCAACCTGTACTTCTCAGACAACTCGTTGGCCCATCTAACCTTTGCATATTAATACAATACTTTACTGTTTAACGGGGTTCAACGCGCGCGTACATACCTAAGCGTACAAGCAGTCTGCTTGTGACCATGGAAAGTGTAACCCTGCCAAAACGTCAAGGAAAAAACAAATTAATAAGGTACGTGCGCGTTAAATCCCGTTACACAGTAAAGTATTAAAATGTTAAGATAGGTGTCCTTTATCTCTGTCAAGGTAGATAATTATTTTGTAATATCAACGACAATATTTTGGACAGAAGTGTCATTGTCACAATGACAACGAACTGTCCTACTACTGTCATCTGTCATCAAATTATTTCTATCAAAAGTTCACACAGTCACACTCACACATTAGCGCTGATGAATTTATTATTTTAGTGAGTTGGCCGATTCTTTGACAACTTTTGTATTTAATTAATATTGATATAAATCACCAAAATGTCGAAAAAGAAGGGAAATAAGAAAAATCAAGATTTTGATGAGGACTTCGAAGATAAAAAGACTATTGTAAGCGATTCTCATGAGGTAACCTCTAAAGGTAAAGGAAAAGGGAAAAAGAAAGGTAAAAGCAGCGCAGGAGATTGGAGTGATAGTGATGAAGATGTTCAGAAGAAGGTGGTAGCTTCTGATGATGAGGACATTCCCAAACCAGCGGCGAAGAAATCACAAAAGAAAGGTACAGACAGACATATGCTAAAAAGTAGTTTCAACTTCATTATCTGCCAAATAAACCTACTTATGGCCAATGTATATCTGTTCCTAAGGCTACTGACTGTAAAATGAAGCATTTCATGTTGTATGGGTTGACACCATTTAAGCAGTCATTATTAAATATAAATTATTGATTGATAAATCATAATTATTATTAACCATAAGAGATTTTTGTGGATCCAATCTGTAATAGAAACATTAGATGTATTTGCAATCAACATATTATAAAATTCTTAAATAAATAATTATTCTATGTTGTTTTTAAAACTATATCAGAGTTATTACTCAATGTTGTGTAATTTTAGGAAAAAACAAGAAGAAGGGTCATGATTCTGATGATGAACAGGATGATGCAAACTCAACAACTAGTAGTGTTACGAATACTGCTTCCAAACCAGCGGCAAAGGCCAGTAAAAAGAAAAAAGGTCAGTTAATTAAGTTACCTATAATAACTTTATTAATTTACAAATAAATTGTCATACTTATTTCCCAATGAGCTCAGTAGAGTCAATGGAACAGCATTAAATACTGGAAAGACTAAACTGAATGTGTCCAATAACAATTTATTACTTACAAACAGTTTTATTTAGGTTAGGCTTAACAAATTAAGTAAAGAAATTTAAGAATAGAAAAAGAAACACACTTAGCTATCAAAGTTATAATAAAACTTAGCTATCATAAAGGTATAGATTTGATGACTATATAATATTATGGAGCTCATAATCATCAGCTCAGATTCCATCTTCCTTCTGCCTGATATTATATTGATATTATATTTGATATTATATTGATTTATATTGATATTATATTATATTGATATTATATATTAATATTGATATTATATTAAATAGGAAGGATATTATATTGATATCCAGTTTGACAGGTTGTTTCTCTTGATGATGAGGACTGATGATTAAAAGCATCTTTTTTTGAGGGAGATCATTAAAAAAATCATTAAATGACTTCTCACTCAGGGTAGTACGGGGCCGCTGTACATTAATGTACTTGGCACATGTATATGATGAAGTTTAGCCTCATTTATGATGCAAAGTTGATATTACTTATCTTACCTTTACTTGGGCTAGATCATTATTATTGAGAAGATGGTTAAATTTTTTGCCAGCTTTGACTAATAAACATATTTTATGATATTCATTTACTTTTCAATGACTAATTTAACCCTTTAACATGACTCTACAGAATCATAATTGGGTAGTTTCTAGGTCAAAAATTCGACATTTCAATACAATAAAATATTGAAAAATAACTATACTTTTATTCATTGATTGATCGATGCACTAAGTTTTAGATATTTTTTAGCTAATTATTACGAAATAAGTAAGCTATTTGACGCAAAAATAATGTGACGTCATAACTCAGTTTTTCATACAAATTTCGTAGAAAACTATAGTTTTTGACATTTGGATAAAAGTATTGAATGTGATTATAAACAAAATGTTGTTGTGCTAAATTTCAAGCAGATTCCTCTGCACACTGAGCATTTTCTATTACTTGGCAATAAAATGTGACAGTATTTATTTAGCAATATATAATTATAGGGCTATATTAATATTTGGCAATGAATCAACATTTCCGCGTTGCCAATGAATTTCATATGAATGTATGTTTTTAGGCAAAGGTAAGAAGGACGACGATTGGTCTGAAGGCAGTGATGTGGAGCTCAAAGAGGTATCCGAAGAAGAAATTGTAAAACCTGTTAGTAAAAAGAAAAGTAAGTATAAACCTTTATTTTATTAATAGTGTGTTGAATGCCAGTAGTAGTGTAGAATTGGGGTTCCTGGATCAAAAAATCCAGGAACCCCAATTCCACACATGAAATATACCTACTAGACTATCAATCAGTTGGGGCTAATCGTAAACTTATGATTCAGTTTGTAATATTCAGACTGGTTTGATTTTAAGAGCAACTGTTTTAATTCATTTAAAAACTGGCACAAATATATACCTACTAGACTATCAATCAGTTGGGGCTAATCGTAAACTTATGATTCAGTTTGTAATATTCAGACTGGTTTGATTTTAAGAGCAACTGTTTTAATTCATTTAAAAACTGGCACAAATTCTGACTTGGTCTATTCTGTTATCTGGGTGTGTATTCATAATTCTAACCTGATCTGATCTGTTATCTGGGTGTGTATTCATAATTCTAACCTGATCTGATCTGTTATCTGGGTGTGTATTCATAATTCTAACCTGATCTGATCTGTTATCTGGGTGTGTATTCATAATTCTAACCTGATCTGTTATCTGGGTGTGTATTCAAAATTCTGACCTGTTTCTTGAGCTTAATATTTAGCAGGTGTTTAATGAAATACATTTGGTCTTATTATTACGATATCTTTATTTAAATAAACAGTATCGAGAAACATAATTACAAAATCCAGACCCGAACAAACATCAACTCTTGTTCGTGTGGGAATCGAACCCACGACACTTGGTTTAGATGGTTAAAGAACATGTTATATTGCACTCAGTTGTGACCAGGGTCTTAACCATTAAGCCAAACGTGTCATCGAATATGTAACAAAATAGTGAAACACTTCAAGCACTTTGTTTACATTAATGATACGTGTATTGTATGACATCATTCATTCGATGCGCTTCCATATACGGTTTTCATTGCAACATGAAAGATTTCTCACTAACACAATTCTTTACGATGTTTTGCCACTGACTGACATATTCCCCTCCTTTCACAGCGTTTAAATAAAAACACTGTGGAAAATTTATAGCATGCTGCATCCAAGGATCATCATAAATTTCCCAATCTTCTATAATACCTCCACATGAAAAACATGCTGCTTTATCATATGGATTAATTCCGTAATAAAAGAATCCAGCATCAGCCATTTCCATCACTAATCTTTTCTTTGAATTATTCGTCCCCCAGTAATAATTAAAGGATAATTCACGTATTTTGTATGTATTATACATATCATATCGAGGTTTATATTTAGTTTGATACATATTTTATTTATTTAGTTACTAGTTCTTGATGCTAATAATTATAAACATAGAATGACATTGCTTTAATGCTGCAAGCAATTTATAAACGTGATTGTACAGGATTGGCAGAGATAGTAAACATATTGTAAAAAAATGAAACAAGTTTTTATTTATTTCATAAAAATTTTATTATCATGGCACCATTTATTTAAACACAATATATTTTTTAAAGCACATACAGAGTTATGATAAATACAACAAATAAAGACTTTCTTAAAGCCCTGGGGTTTAAAGTATGAATATGCTACAGATTACTGAATTACCGCATTTCGACAGTTCGATTGAAAGTTATGAAATCCATTCATACAATCCCTACAATAACAGCTTTAGAGAAAACGATGAAATCAGAATCCCCATACATCAGCAAGACATATACGTGCTACCATCAGCCAGTTCAATTTACATCGAAGGACAGGCAAGGCTGTTCGGTAAAGATGGGAATCCGATCAAGAAAACTGTTACGTTCACTAATAACCCTGTTATGTCTTTGTTTCAAGACATCAGATACGAAATGAATGGTATCGAAATAGACCGCATTAAAAATTCGGGAATTACGTCAACAATAAAATCATACATTTCATTAAATGAAGCAGAAAATAAAGTTGCAGCCTTATGGGGTTGGAACTTAGCGGGATTCCAAAGTGATGGACATTTTAGTGCCGTGATACCATTGAATAAGGTTTTAGGGTTTGCAGAAGATTACAATAAAATTGTGATAAATTGTAAACACGAACTTATTTTGAGTAGAAGTAACTCTAACTTAAATAGTGTTATTCTGACTGATGATGTTGTTAATTTTCAAATAGATATACAAAGAGTTCAGTGGAGAGTGCCACATATAAAAGTGTCAGATCGAGAACGACTAACACTTTTAAAACATTTAGAAAGAGATAAACCTATTCAGATGGCTTTTAGAAATTGGGATTTATATGAGTATCCCTTGCTACCTAAAACTACAAAGCATTCTTGGTCAGTAAAAACAGCTTCACAATTGGAAAAGCCTAGATATGTTATATTTTGCTTGCAAACTAATAGGAGAAATAATAGGACTAAAGACAGTTCACTATTCGATCATTGTGAAGTGACCAATGTAACACTCTTTTTGAATTCGCAATATTATCCCTACGAACCTTTAAGTTTAAAGTTTTCTGAGAACAAGTACAGTATATTATATGAAATGTATGTGAAATTTCGTCAGTCGTATTACAACAGTCCTGTAGACCCATTGCTAAATCTAACAGATTTTAAAGAAAAGGCCCCCCTTTTCATCTTAGATTGCTCAAGACAAAACGATAGTTTGAAAACCGGTCCAGTGGACGTGCGGTTAGAAGTTGAATGTTCCACACCAATACCAGATAAGACAACTGCGTATTGTTTGATTATAAACGATCGACTTGTGGAATACAAACCTCTCAGCAACATTGTGCGCAGGTTATCATGATTGCTGTTGTTGATATTCAGGGATTTAGAACAGAAGCAGATGAATTTATATTAAAAGAAATCGCTATACTGTGTAACAAAAAACTACAAGTGTTTTTAGTTAAGCCACCATTTCCATTTAAAAACTTAACGGAATCTGAAAAAAAGGTAGTTCTTTGGATTCAACGTAACAAAAAGATATACTGGAGTGAAGGATTTGTACCTTATTCCAATTACCAGACTTTGGTTTCCGATATATTAAGAGATAAATGTGTTTATGTTAAAGGTTCGGAAAAAGTTTTATGGTTAAAGCATATTTTAGAAAATAGTAACAGTAATATATTTAATTTAGAAGATAAAGGTTGTCCTAGTTTAGTACATTTATATGATCAATATAAACATTCTGAAGATATGTATAATTGTATTTATCATAACTCTGTATGTGCTTTAAAAAATATATTGTGTTTAAATAAATGGTGCCATGATAATAAAATTTTTATGAAATAAATAAAAACTTGTTTCATTTTTTTACAATATGTTTACTATCTCTGCCAATCCTGTACAATCACGTTTATAAATTGCTTGCAGCATTAAAGCAATGTCATTCTATGTTTATAATTATTAGCATCAAGAACTAGTAACTAAATAAATAAAATATGTATCAAACTAAATATAAACCTCGATATGATATGTATAATACATACAAAATACGTGAATTATCCTTTAATTATTACTGGGGGACGAATAATTCAAAGAAAAGATTAGTGATGGAAATGGCTGATGCTGGATTCTTTTATTACGGAATTAATCCATATGATAAAGCAGCATGTTTTTCATGTGGAGGTATTATAGAAGATTGGGAAATTTATGATGATCCTTGGATGCAGCATGCTATAAATTTTCCACAGTGTTTTTATTTAAACGCTGTGAAAGGAGGGGAATATGTCAGTCAGTGGCAAAACATCGTAAAGAATTGTGTTAGTGAGAAATCTTTCATGTTGCAATGAAAACCGTATATGGAAGCGCATCGAATGAATGATGTCATACAATACACGTATCATTAATGTAAACAAAGTGCTTGAAGTGTTTCACTATTTTGTTACATATTCGATGACACGTTTGGCTTAATGGTTAAGACCCTGGTCACAACTGAGTGCAATATAACATGTTCTTTAACCATCTAAACCAAGTGTCGTGGGTTCGATTCCCACACGAACAAGAGTTGATGTTTGTTCGGGTCTGGATTTTGTAATTATGTTTCTCGATACTGTTTATTTAAATAAAGATATCGTAATAATAAGACCAAATGTATTTCATTAAACACCTGCTAAATATTAAGCTCAAGAAACAGGTCAGAATTTTGAATACACACCCAGATAACAGATCAGGTTAGAATTATGAATACACACCCAGATAACAGATCAGATCAGGTTAGAATTATGAATACACACCCAGATAACAGATCAGATCAGGTTAGAATTATGAATACACACCCAGATAACAGATCAGATCAGGTTAGAATTATGAATACACACCCAGATAACAGAATAGACCAAGTCAGAATTTGTGCCAGTTTTTAAATGAATTAAAACAGTTGCTCTTAAAATCAAACCAGTCTGAATATTACAAACTGAATCATAAGTTTACGATTAGCCCCAACTGATTGATAGTCTAGTAGGTATATATTTGTGCCAGTTTTTAAATGAATTAAAACAGTTGCTCTTAAAATCAAACCAGTCTGAATATTACAAACTGAATCATAAGTTTACGATTAGCCCCAACTGATTGATAGTCTAGTAGGTATATTTCATGTGTGGAATTGGGGTTCCTGGATTTTTTGATCCAGGAACCCCAATTCTACACTACTACTACTAGTGTACACTACTACTACTAGTGTAGAATTGGGGTTCCTGGATCAAAAAATCCAGGAACCCCAATTCCACACATGAAATATACCTACTAGACTATCAATCAGTTGGGGCTAATCGTAAACTTATGATTCAGTTTGTAATATTCAGACTGGTTTGATTTTAAGAGCAACTGTTTTAATTCATTTAAAAACTGGCACAAATATATACCTACTAGACTATCAATCAGTTGGGGCTAATCGTAAACTTATGATTCAGTTTGTAATATTCAGACTGGTTTGATTTTAAGAGCAACTGTTTTAATTCATTTAAAAACTGGCACAAATTCTGACTTGGTCTATTCTGTTATCTGGGTGTGTATTCATAATTCTAACCTGATCTGATCTGTTATCTGGGTGTGTATTCATAATTCTAACCTGATCTGATCTGTTATCTGGGTGTGTATTCATAATTCTAACCTGATCTGATCTGTTATCTGGGTGTGTATTCATAATTCTAACCTGATCTGTTATCTGGGTGTGTATTCAAAATTCTGACCTGTTTCTTGAGCTTAATATTTAGCAGGTGTTTAATGAAATACATTTGGTCTTATTATTACGATATCTTTATTTAAATAAACAGTATCGAGAAACATAATTACAAAATCCAGACCCGAACAAACATCAACTCTTGTTCGTGTGGGAATCGAACCCACGACACTTGGTTTAGATGGTTAAAGAACATGTTATATTGCACTCAGTTGTGACCAGGGTCTTAACCATTAAGCCAAACGTGTCATCGAATATGTAACAAAATAGTGAAACACTTCAAGCACTTTGTTTACATTAATGATACGTGTATTGTATGACATCATTCATTCGATGCGCTTCCATATACGGTTTTCATTGCAACATGAAAGATTTCTCACTAACACAATTCTTTACGATGTTTTGCCACTGACTGACATATTCCCCTCCTTTCACAGCGTTTAAATAAAAACACTGTGGAAAATTTATAGCATGCTGCATCCAAGGATCATCATAAATTTCCCAATCTTCTATAATACCTCCACATGAAAAACATGCTGCTTTATCATATGGATTAATTCCGTAATAAAAGAATCCAGCATCAGCCATTTCCATCACTAATCTTTTCTTTGAATTATTCGTCCCCCAGTAATAATTAAAGGATAATTCACGTATTTTGTATGTATTATACATATCATATCGAGGTTTATATTTAGTTTGATACATATTTTATTTATTTAGTTACTAGTTCTTGATGCTAATAATTATAAACATAGAATGACATTGCTTTAATGCTGCAAGCAATTTATAAACGTGATTGTACAGGATTGGCAGAGATAGTAAACATATTGTAAAAAAATGAAACAAGTTTTTATTTATTTCATAAAAATTTTATTATCATGGCACCATTTATTTAAACACAATATATTTTTTAAAGCACATACAGAGTTATGATAAATACAACAAATAAAGACTTTCTTAAAGCCCTGGGGTTTAAAGTATGAATATGCTACAGATTACTGAATTACCGCATTTCGACAGTTCGATTGAAAGTTATGAAATCCATTCATACAATCCCTACAATAACAGCTTTAGAGAAAACGATGAAATCAGAATCCCCATACATCAGCAAGACATATACGTGCTACCATCAGCCAGTTCAATTTACATCGAAGGACAGGCAAGGCTGTTCGGTAAAGATGGGAATCCGATCAAGAAAACTGTTACGTTCACTAATAACCCTGTTATGTCTTTGTTTCAAGACATCAGATACGAAATGAATGGTATCGAAATAGACCGCATTAAAAATTCGGGAATTACGTCAACAATAAAATCATACATTTCATTAAATGAAGCAGAAAATAAAGTTGCAGCCTTATGGGGTTGGAACTTAGCGGGATTCCAAAGTGATGGACATTTTAGTGCCGTGATACCATTGAATAAGGTTTTAGGGTTTGCAGAAGATTACAATAAAATTGTGATAAATTGTAAACACGAACTTATTTTGAGTAGAAGTAACTCTAACTTAAATAGTGTTATTCTGACTGATGATGTTGTTAATTTTCAAATAGATATACAAAGAGTTCAGTGGAGAGTGCCACATATAAAAGTGTCAGATCGAGAACGACTAACACTTTTAAAACATTTAGAAAGAGATAAACCTATTCAGATGGCTTTTAGAAATTGGGATTTATATGAGTATCCCTTGCTACCTAAAACTACAAAGCATTCTTGGTCAGTAAAAACAGCTTCACAATTGGAAAAGCCTAGATATGTTATATTTTGCTTGCAAACTAATAGGAGAAATAATAGGACTAAAGACAGTTCACTATTCGATCATTGTGAAGTGACCAATGTAACACTCTTTTTGAATTCGCAATATTATCCCTACGAACCTTTAAGTTTAAAGTTTTCTGAGAACAAGTACAGTATATTATATGAAATGTATGTGAAATTTCGTCAGTCGTATTACAACAGTCCTGTAGACCCATTGCTAAATCTAACAGATTTTAAAGAAAAGGCCCCCCTTTTCATCTTAGATTGCTCAAGACAAAACGATAGTTTGAAAACCGGTCCAGTGGACGTGCGGTTAGAAGTTGAATGTTCCACACCAATACCAGATAAGACAACTGCGTATTGTTTGATTATAAACGATCGACTTGTGGAATACAAACCTCTCAGCAACATTGTGCGCAGGTTATCATGATTGCTGTTGTTGATATTCAGGGATTTAGAACAGAAGCAGATGAATTTATATTAAAAGAAATCGCTATACTGTGTAACAAAAAACTACAAGTGTTTTTAGTTAAGCCACCATTTCCATTTAAAAACTTAACGGAATCTGAAAAAAAGGTAGTTCTTTGGATTCAACGTAACAAAAAGATATACTGGAGTGAAGGATTTGTACCTTATTCCAATTACCAGACTTTGGTTTCCGATATATTAAGAGATAAATGTGTTTATGTTAAAGGTTCGGAAAAAGTTTTATGGTTAAAGCATATTTTAGAAAATAGTAACAGTAATATATTTAATTTAGAAGATAAAGGTTGTCCTAGTTTAGTACATTTATATGATCAATATAAACATTCTGAAGATATGTATAATTGTATTTATCATAACTCTGTATGTGCTTTAAAAAATATATTGTGTTTAAATAAATGGTGCCATGATAATAAAATTTTTATGAAATAAATAAAAACTTGTTTCATTTTTTTACAATATGTTTACTATCTCTGCCAATCCTGTACAATCACGTTTATAAATTGCTTGCAGCATTAAAGCAATGTCATTCTATGTTTATAATTATTAGCATCAAGAACTAGTAACTAAATAAATAAAATATGTATCAAACTAAATATAAACCTCGATATGATATGTATAATACATACAAAATACGTGAATTATCCTTTAATTATTACTGGGGGACGAATAATTCAAAGAAAAGATTAGTGATGGAAATGGCTGATGCTGGATTCTTTTATTACGGAATTAATCCATATGATAAAGCAGCATGTTTTTCATGTGGAGGTATTATAGAAGATTGGGAAATTTATGATGATCCTTGGATGCAGCATGCTATAAATTTTCCACAGTGTTTTTATTTAAACGCTGTGAAAGGAGGGGAATATGTCAGTCAGTGGCAAAACATCGTAAAGAATTGTGTTAGTGAGAAATCTTTCATGTTGCAATGAAAACCGTATATGGAAGCGCATCGAATGAATGATGTCATACAATACACGTATCATTAATGTAAACAAAGTGCTTGAAGTGTTTCACTATTTTGTTACATATTCGATGACACGTTTGGCTTAATGGTTAAGACCCTGGTCACAACTGAGTGCAATATAACATGTTCTTTAACCATCTAAACCAAGTGTCGTGGGTTCGATTCCCACACGAACAAGAGTTGATGTTTGTTCGGGTCTGGATTTTGTAATTATGTTTCTCGATACTGTTTATTTAAATAAAGATATCGTAATAATAAGACCAAATGTATTTCATTAAACACCTGCTAAATATTAAGCTCAAGAAACAGGTCAGAATTTTGAATACACACCCAGATAACAGATCAGGTTAGAATTATGAATACACACCCAGATAACAGATCAGATCAGGTTAGAATTATGAATACACACCCAGATAACAGATCAGATCAGGTTAGAATTATGAATACACACCCAGATAACAGATCAGATCAGGTTAGAATTATGAATACACACCCAGATAACAGAATAGACCAAGTCAGAATTTGTGCCAGTTTTTAAATGAATTAAAACAGTTGCTCTTAAAATCAAACCAGTCTGAATATTACAAACTGAATCATAAGTTTACGATTAGCCCCAACTGATTGATAGTCTAGTAGGTATATATTTGTGCCAGTTTTTAAATGAATTAAAACAGTTGCTCTTAAAATCAAACCAGTCTGAATATTACAAACTGAATCATAAGTTTACGATTAGCCCCAACTGATTGATAGTCTAGTAGGTATATTTCATGTGTGGAATTGGGGTTCCTGGATTTTTTGATCCAGGAACCCCAATTCTACACTACTGCCAGTACATGTATTCGTAGAATTTTATTGCAAAGGGGTAAATAGAAATGCACATTGATTTCATGTAATTTCTTTACTTTTCTAATTGTCACGTCAATTCACATGTTATTATGTCATGAGTGCCTGGTAATCGAGGGTATAGTTATTGCTGAATATTGGGTGATTACCAAACCTAAGCCATTTAGGGTAAACTAAAAAAAACCGGTATTAAAAAAAAATGACCGACCTAGTTCAATCTGAAACTTCACCATCAAATCAGTCAGATTTTTTTGTTTTATTTATCAAATTATTACGCTTTTAGCTCAGAGTTAAGCAGATATATATTATTTTTTTTTAGTTGTCAAAGCATTTTCTTGTGTGCGAGCATAAGGAGTACATAGACTATATTTTCTATTATTCTTTTAGCTAAAAATAAAAAGAAAAATATAGAAGCTGAATCTTCAGATGAGGAGGATCAAGACCATGATGATTCTAAATCAGTAGTTAGCAATGTTTCTAGTAATCAGGCCAAACCTGCATCTAAGTCAAAGAGCAAAAAAGGTTAGTAACAAATATTCAATTACTAAATAAAATAAAAGAACACAATTCTCACCCTTTTTTTAAGTGATAGGATGGCTAACGAGCTGATGGATTATCTGATTGTAAGCAATCAGTTGGTCGCGTTGCCGGCCTTTTGGGATTATCGAGATTTAGGGATTGGGGGAATCGCTCACAGTAATATAGTATTAGTTAGTATTTATATTAATTCACATTTTTATGTTTGAGTGAGTTGCGCTAGTATTAAAATGTGGTACTTAGTTTTTATTATATATTTTGGTATAATAAGCCCCTTATTGTAAAGAGGTCTATTTAATTTGGTATTACTTTACCCCCTGTGTATTTCAACATTATTAAGAACTAGTTTCGTAGTTTCGCCCGCGGCTTCGCCTGCTTGGTATGTTGATTAAAAACAGCCAATGTGTTCATCCAGGGTATTATCTATCTACATAAAAAATTTCAACCAAATCCGTCCAGCACATTTTGTGTGAAAGAATAACAAACAAACATACATCCATGCATTTTCATACACTTTCACATTTATAAAATAAGTACGATGAAAAGTGTGGGAGAGCCAAGCTTCGGCACGAATGGGTCGGCTCGACCGGAGTGATACCACAGCCTCACAGAAAACCGGCGTGAAACAACCACAGCGTTGTGTTTCGCCGTGTGAGTGAGGTTACCGGAGGCCCAATCCTTCCCCTCCCCCAATCCCTCGTTAATCCCTAAATCTCCAAATCCCTAATATCTAAAAGGTCGGCAACGCATTCGTAACTGCATTGTTGCGGGTGTCCATAGACGGCGCTGATTGCTTACCATCAAGTAATCCGTCAGCTCGTTTGGCAACCTATTACATAAAAAAAAAAACTAGATTCAGTTGTACTTTTTAAACCACGAAACACAATATTTAATTATCGTTGTTTATTTTTTAGGTAAAGGCAAGAAAGACGACTGGCCAGATGAAGAGAGTGATAAGGAATTAAAAATGGAACCTTCAGAGGATGAAGAAGAAATCGTTATTCCCGTAGTTAAGAGTAAAGGTAAAATTATTGTAAAGACTATGTTATTCAAAGCGTTTACGCGGTACAATATCCAAACTTGTTAAGTCCAAAATCGTGGAAACTACTAACTGAACAGAATTAACGATCGACGCACGTCTAAAAATTTGATAAACTACCATTCTCGTTACCACTTCTTCAATGTTCAAATATACCTACATACTGTCAAGTCAATTCAGTAATAGTATATTCATTGCTTTCAATTATTATAATTACAATCAATATAATTAAAGATTTCTCAGGAAAATTTTCACTGCGTTTTTGATGCCTTGTTTGATAGCGCCAGTTTTTAAAACTTTTTGTACTGAGTAGTTCATTTATTAATATTACGCTACGACCACTAGGAGCCGACCAGAGTATAAAAACGGGCGAGAGAAGAGAGAATGAAAAGAATAAACTCTTTATTGAAGACAAAAAAAATAATAATATTGGTGTCTTAAAATAATGTTTATTTACTTATAGGTAAAAATAAAAAGAAGAATAATATTGATGACATAGAGGCCGAGTTGAAGAAGTTCGAAGTGAAAGATCCTGAACCTGAACCCGAAGTGCCTGTAAAAGCAAAGGTATGAGACACTGATAAAAAATTATCAAACTCACATATAACATAACAAAATGTACATTTTTTGCAAATAAATAAATTCATTGTTTCATTGTTTCATTGTAAAATAAACCAAATTTCAACATTCATTAGGTTTATTGTTGTAGTTACAATAACATAATTTGCTTACACAGGATAAAAGCAAGAAAGTAAAGAAGGAAGAAATAGTTGAACCGGAACCTGATGAAGCAATGGAGACTGATGACAAAGTACCAGAATTAGCCGAGAAAGAGAAAGAGGAACCGGCTGAGAAGAAAATGAGTCATAAGGAAAAAAAGAAATTGAAGAAACAACAAGAGTATGAGAAACAGATGGAGTTGTTGACTAAGAAGGGTGGCCAGGGACACAGTGATCTAGATGCAAACTTTACTGTTAGTCAGGCGCAGAAAACTGCTGGTAAGTATTTCTTTTCGCATAACACTGCTTGTAATCATCTAGATAGATAATTAGTAAAGACGTCTCTTTTATATAATTCCACCGGTCGCCCACGGCTCCGCCAGCGTGGATGCCGATTTTACACTTTTTCATGTTTTTTTTTTTAATTTTCTCTACATACAAACCTTCTCTGGACTTCCACGAATAATTCAAGACCAAAATTAGCCAAATCGGTAAAGGAATTAATTGTTGAGATGACATATGATGATAACATGACAACGAAAAGTGACATTGATTTTTATATATACATTATATATATACCTATTTTGCAAAAAATTATGAGCCTAATAATACTTACCCTGACCCAAATATTGAACACAAGATAGCTTTCTCGACAGTTGACCTTGAGAATATGAAGTAATCGCAAAGTTTTTCAATTATTCCTAAAACTTAACACTACAGGAGGTGTGTATAAATTTCTAATTATAAGTTCGAAATCGGCTATCCGCCTTGGGCAAGCGTGGTAATTAATGCTCAAACCTTCTCCGAGTGACAAGAGTGACAAGCTCAGCAGTGGGCACTTATAGGCTGATGATGATGATGATGATGATTATAAACTCTGAATGAACATTACAGGTCAAATGGCAGCATTAGAGAACGCAGTGGATATAAAAGTAGAAAACTTTTCAATAAGTGCTAAAGGCAAGGATTTGTTTGTGAATGCAAACCTCTTGATTGCTAACGGTCGGCGGTACGGTCTTGTAGGCCCTAATGGTCATGGAAAGACTACTTTGTTAAGGCATTTGGCCCAACGTGCCTTCCCTCTCCCGCCCCATATAGACATACTGCTGTGTGAGCAAGAGGTCACTGCGAGTGATATGAGCGCTGTTGATACTCTACTTGAAGCTGACGTTAAGAGGACTGGTAAGTTACTTATCTGCTTGTTTTTTTACTTTTGCGTTTTAATTCACATGGGATGTGCCGATATTTTTGTGAGCGCACGGTTGCGCAGTGGATGAGCAAAATTCTTCTGCGCAAACTGTCGCGCGTTCGGTTAGCTCACGGAACATTATTTTGTACGATTCACATATTGTTTTTCTTAAATTTGTCATCAGGCGTAGTTTATTATTATGTGAGCGTGTATTATGTGTGCTTGTAAGCGTTTTTGCCTTGTCTATTACAGAAAATAAGTCAGATGTAGGTATAGGACCCATTGATATTTTTGTAAATTTTCTGTGTTTTTTTACTCTTTTATGGCATATAAGCTTATGTCATTTCTGCCCATTTTCCGCATAAAATTTAGATTAAATGGGTAAGACTATGTAATTTTTTTTCCGCAAATAATATCTTCTGATTTATTTTGTTAAAATGTTTAAGACCGACCTTCTATAAATACTGCCTTACAGGATTTGTATAGGTTTTGGTAGGCTTTGATGGGCTAAAAAATAATATTGCCCCGGACCTGGGAGTTATGTGTATGTGAAAAAGGACATAGTAGGAAATCCTAGTTCCTAGGACAACGTTAAAACAAGAAGACGAGACGATTTATATTAACTATATGATAATACAGTACACCTTTTTCAGAATTGCTGAAGGAATGTAAAGAATTGGAAGCTGTCATAGAAAAGGGAGATCTTAGTAAACAGGATAGGTTAAATGAGGTCAGTATTAATTATATTAGCTGTTTAATATTATTATGTTATCTGTATTGAGAAATTTAATTAATAGACTTAATGACTCAATTGAAAAATGGATAGAGAGGAGTTACATACAAATTTACATTAAAAGTCGGCTCAACGAAACAAAAGCAAAAAAACATTTCGAGGTCGATCAAAGTGAAATTTTGATCTCACAGAAAACCGTCGTGAGACAATGCTAGTACACTATGTACTTCGTCTAAGTGATAACCCGAGGACTTCCTTTATCCACAATCTTCAAATGTCAAACAACTACAGGTGATCCGTCAGCTCGGTTCGACTGAATCGCCAAAAGCTTTGCAACGCACTCGTTTGATTGCTTAGCATCAGATAATTCGTCAGCTCGTTCGCCGTAATATATAAACACTAGCTACTCTGTGCTGCTACACCCGCTGCTCGGCTCCATTTAATCGTAGCGTGATGTTGTATAGCCTATAGCACTCAGGAACATTGCAGCTATCTATCAGTGAATATTGTCAAAGAATTTTGGCAATCCGACCAGCGGTTCCAAAAATTACCCCTACAAACTTACAAATTTTAAATCTTTATAATATATAGTATAGAAATATTGACTACTAGCACGTACAAGTATCTAATCAATTTTATAATTTATATATTTGTATTCCAGGTATACGCTGAATTGAAAGCTATCGGCGCTGACTCGGCGGAGCCGCGTGCTCGTCGTATCCTGGCGGGTCTCGGTTTCAGTCGGGAAATGCAAGATCGCGCCACTAAGAACTTCTCTGGTGGTTGGCGTATGAGAGTCTCACTGGCTAGGTATTTACTTTAAACTAAATATTTTATACTAGCTACACTCGCGCGGTTTCACCCGCTGCTAGATCCTAGCGTGATGTTTTATAGCCTATAGCCTTCCTCGATAAATGGACATACAAACCCAAAAAGAATTGTTCAATTCGAACCAGTAGCTCCATAGATTAAGGCGTTCAAACAAAGAAACAAACTCTTCAGCTTCGAAATATAATACTACTAATATAGACTATATTTTTTCGGGTGTTATGCTGACTCAAATTTCTCCAATATTTAATGAAAGTTACTTATAAAACTTCTCCTTCGTTTTATACATATAAATTTGCCCTTCAATCACTCTATCAATTAAAAAAAACGCAACAAAATACATTGTGTAGTTTTAACAATTTAAGCTTTAAATAGGGACAGACAGGAGGCTTTGGTTTATATTATGTAGTGATAATACCAGAGGCCCGCCCCTGTCTCGACTTTACCTTCTTCATCATCATCATCATCATCATCATCAGCCTATAAGTGCCCACTGCTGAGCAAAGGCCTCTTCTCACACGGAGAAGGTTTGAGCATTAATCACCACGCTTGCTCAAGGCGGATTGGCGATTTCAAACTTATAATAAGAAATTATAAGTCCAGGTTTCCTCGCGATGTTTTCCTTCACCGTATGTCAGTGGTGTCTATTTAATCATAGAAAGTACATATGACTCGGAAAAAGTCACATTGGTACTTGCCAGGTTTCGAACCCGCACCCTCATGCATGAGAAGCGGGCACATTAACCTCTGGGCCACCACGACATTTTGACCTTTACATTCTTACCTAAAATAAAATTTTCATCAAAGAAATACATTATATTATTTTAGAACAAACGTTTGTCTGAGTAGTCGAAACAGGGTGTGGTTCGTGTAAGTCAACGAAACCTATTTTTAGTTTCGAAAATTCTTATTATTTAGTATGATGGCAGCTCTTCTTATGTTACATAAATATACCCTAAACACAAGTGAATTTAAAATTAAATTTCTTTACATACCTAGAAAATAATAACCTAATGTACTTTAATTATTTTACAGAGCGCTGTACATAGAACCAACATTGTTGATGCTTGACGAACCTACAAACCATTTAGATCTGAACGCCGTCATCTGGTTGGATAAGTAAGTCTTCTTTTTATAACTCAACATGATTATGAACCCCGATTGTGGTTCGAAAGTAATCGAACAGTCTCGAAAAGATTCAAGAAAAAGTCGTATTTTGTAATCAAACATTTTTTATTTTGTAAAGTCAATATGTAAAAAGTATTTTGTAAAGTCAACATGATTATGAATCCCGTACGTCGTTCGAAACTAGACGAGCACTCTCGAAAAGAGTCTAGATAAAGATGTATTTCCTAATTAAAGTGTGTCAAATAAATATCTCTATAGACTTATCAATAAACTTGCAAAGTTTTACATGTAACCTCAATTTCTATCTCTTACCTAATTTTGTTTGTCTTTGTTCCAGCTACCTCCAAGGTTGGAAGAAGACACTTCTCGTAGTATCCCACGACCAGTCTTTCTTAGACAACGTATGTAATGAGATCATACACTTGGACACACAGAAGTTGTACTATTACAAGGGTAATTATTCCATGTTCAAGAAAATGTACGCACAAAAGAGGAAGGAAATGATCAAGGAATATGAAAAGCAAGAGAAGAGATTAAAAGATTTGAAGGCGCACGGACAGTCGAAGAAACAGGCTGTTAGTTGTATAGTATTTTTATAGCAATAGAAATAGTCTTACACCCGGTTTCCGAAAGGTCGATCAATGTTAAAATCAATTTAATCTCTTGTCAAGTCCTCTGATTGGTTGACTGAATTATCAACAAATAATCAGATGATTTGACAAGAGATTAGTTAATTTTAGCGTTGTCAAGCCTTTCAGAAACCGGGTGTTGTGTGGGAGAGCCAAGCTTCGGCACGAATGGGTCGGCTCGACCGAAGTTATACCACGGCCTCATTGAAAATCTGTATAAAATAATCACAGCGTTGTGTGCAACTTATACGGCGAATAAGTGAGATTACCGGACGCCCAATTCTTCCCCTCCCCCAATCCCTAAATCTCCATATGTCTCATTCTCAAAAATGGGCGTAATATAAACACAGCGTTGTGTTTCGCCGTGTGAGTGAGGTTACCTGAGGCCTAATTCATTCTCTCCCCAAATCCCTAATCCTCAAAAGGTCGGCAACGCATTCGTAACTCCTCTGTTGTTGCCCATAGTTGGTGTCCATAGGCGTCGCTGATTGCGTACCACACAGACATCTCACCCAACCTAAAGACCACGCGTAAACAAACTTCAGTGCGAATACAAAATCGCTAAAAGGTGGCGGGTTGCAGGGAGAGGTAGTCTAGTTTTCATTGGCTTGTTTAAGGACACGTCAGAATTGACAATGTTGTTGTTTCGCTTTGACTCTCGGCGGCGGAATGAGAAACAGAAAGGGGCGGGCCGGCTCTTATGCAGTGTCACTGCCTAACCTTGGCGAATGCATACGCCTGGCAAAACGTGGTCTTTAAGTTGAGTCGTCTGTGACGTTATGGCGTACCATCAGGTAATCCGTCTGCTTGTATGACATTAAACATAGGCTGTTGTTGATCTTTTTTTAACATAGTTTTATTGCGATGTACGATGCGGAAGATAGTCTTCAATATTCGAAAATCCTTTATGATTAACAGGAAAAGAAACAGAAGGACGCTTTGACCCGTAAACAAGAGAAGAACCGCAGTAAGGCACAGCGCGAGGACGAGGAGAGCGCCGCCCCGACCGCACTGCTGCAGCGGCCCAAGGAGTACATCGTCAAATTCTCCTTCCCCGACCCTCCGCCACTCCAACCTCCCATACTTGGGTTACACAGTAAGTACTACATATAATATAGTACATATACTGACATATAATAGATGCTATTGAAAGATAAAAGTAAGGTAAGCGCAATGAGCGCATTTAATGATTGTCCCCTCACAAAATAAATCCGTATGTATTTACTGTATTTATTGTTTAACGGCTTACTTAGGTAACTTTTTGAAGAGGAGCTCGTTTAGTTTCAAACCACGGTGTCTATCCGAAGTAATATGAGCCCCCAAAGTAGCTTGAAACTAATCGAGTTACATAAGCCGGTAGACACAATAATTTAATGTCATATAAAAGTTATGATACTAAAATATAACTCCTGTTCACAGATGTGTACTTCAATTTTCCGGGTCAAAAGCCTTTGTTCAAGGATGTGGACTTTGGTATTGATTTGAATTCACGTATCGCCATCGTTGGACCAAATGGAGTGGGCAAGTCCACTTTCCTCAAACTGCTAGTGGGCGAGCTGACTCCCGTCCAAGGAGAACTAATTAGGAATCATAGGCTGGTAAGTACGATTTACGATTGATCATTATAATCGAATATAGATCTTATGTAATAGATATAAAGATCGAAGACTATACAGTTTTAGAGGATAACTGAATTAATTTCGTATTTGGTAATGGCTAAGTAGTCGGTAGGTATTTAACTACGATTGGGGGACAATACCATTCAAATAAAATGAATGTAAATTTGAAGAAGTTTGAAATATGTCATTTTAAATTATTATGTTTTCGGCTTACTCACGTAATAATTTGACGAGATACTCGACTAGTTTCAAGGCATGCTAGAGGCCCATATTCATGAGCAGCATTCCGCGACAAGCGACTCGGCGACTGTCGCGCTGCTACTGGCTACTTGAGTCTACGCGCCCAACGCGCCCTCTGCCGCAATTCACGCGCAATTTCTTCTATCCGTGGTGTTGGCAGCGACGCCGCGCGCGTAACTGTTGCCACGCTAGACTTGCCCGCCTACAGCTGCGTTGGTGTTGGGTTCGAATCCCGGGTCGACGCAAAAACAGTGTTACATGCCGCGCTAACTGTGTCACACTCCAGACCCGCAACAGTGCAGTGTGACGCAGATTTCAGATTTCAGCTTCCAGGAAGGTGGTTATGCCCAACCACCGTCTCTGTTGAAGTTCGAACGTGTCAATGTCAATTTTGTCTTAGAAAAGTAGAAAAGAGATTTAAAAAAAAATATTATATTTGGAATCGCAATAGATATATTCAATAATAAACCTATCAAATTTGTGTATAAGTGACATAATCATCAATAATAACTTTCAACCTTATTACAATCAACAGAGGATAGGTCGTTTCGACCAGCATTCAGGAGAACATTTAACAGCCGAGGAGACCCCAGCCGAATATCTTCAGCGACTATTCGGCCTTCAGTACGAAAAGGCGCGCAAAGCTCTCGGCACCTTCGGTCTAGCTAGTCACGCGCATACTATCAAGATGATGGATCTCAGTGGAGGACAGAAAGCCAGGGTCGCGTTAGCTGAACTAACTCTAATGGCACCCGATGTTGTTATTTTGGTAAGTTGTTTTGAACTTTATTCATGTTTTCATTAGGGTCCAAATTATTTAGTTGTTTTTTGTATACCTATAACGAAATTAATTAAATATTATGTATAGGCTACTTTTTATCAACATACCACGCGGGCGAAGCCGCGACCGAAGGCTAGTTTATGGTATTAGTAGGAATGTAGGATTTATTTTAGTATTTTATTTATATTCTACCATTTACCATTTACATTTTCGCATTCACAGGACGAACCTACGAATAACTTGGACATCGAGAGTATAGACGCGTTGGCGGACGCCATCAACGACTACAAGGGCGGCGTCGTCATCGTCTCTCACGACGAGCGACTCATCAGGGAGACTGACTGCGCACTCTACGTCATTGAGGACCAGACTATCAATGAGGTACAGTTATTTCTGACTTTTGTTGTATTTTTATATTTACATATTTTTTGTGTATTCATAGGCGGTCTTATTATAGTAAGTATAATGGTATTTAATCAACAAACAATAAGAATGAACAGTTTATAGTAACACAAGAAGGATAAAATATGTTTTTACAATCTCATTTTGCAAAAGTCGTGGTGGGCTGGAGGTTGCGCGATTGCTTGTTCGACACCTGTCAAGTACCTACCAATGTGTCTTGTTCTAAGTCATGTGTATTTTCTAACTGTATTTAGACACCATTGACAAACAGTTAAGGAAATCTGAATTCTGTAAAAGAAATCTTGTAATTTCTAATTAGACGTTTGATATCACCAATCTGCTTTGAGCAAGTGTGTTGCTCAAACCTTCTCCACCAGAGAAGAGGCCTTTGCTCAGCAGCGGGCTCTTTTGGGCTGATAAATGTATAATTTTGTAAGATACATAATTTTTATTGGTTATATTATGTACCTATTTGTAAATTGGAAACGTACTTACAACTTAAGAGAAAACATGTGAATATTTAATTAAATGTGGTCTTCTTCACAGGTGGACGGTGACTTCGATGACTACCGTAAGGAGTTGCTGGAGAGTCTCGGCGAGACCATCAACTCCCCGTCCATTATCGCGAACGCAGCGGTCCAGCAGTAAAACGAATAAACAATTCCAATCCGTTGTACAATTTGTTGAAATTATTTTATTTATGTACTTATGTTTTTTTCTTCCTAGTTCATTATAAAGGTATACGATTCGGTAGTTTCCAACTTTTCTGTGAATTTTGTACGAGTTCCCAAATATGGCGTCATAATTTTATTATGTCGAACACTTGTTTTAAAGTTAACTAAAATTTGTCTAAAAGTAAGTAAATCGTCAAATCAGTTAATGAAAGTATGATTATATTTTAATAATTCATTCTATTGAAAAGTCAAAATTATTTATTTTTAGCTGGGAAACTACCCAGTTCGCTTTTTTGTTTGTTTTGGTCATAATATGAGTCATATCACAAACAGCCTTCTATTTAACTTTGGTTGACCAAATGACTTTTAGATCGATCAGTTGGAAGCGAATTGATTCTATTTTCATACCGCATTTGTCACCAAATACACTTTAAAAATAAGATGTTCTCTCAATTTCGTTCATAATAAATTATGTTTTAACTTTCAAGAGATTTGAATGGTGCTAAAGGTATCCTGCGTACATTGGTTGTTACTAGGAATAGATGTTTGAAAAGAAAGAAAGATATTTACTTTATGTTCAATAAATTGTTTCCAGACGACTAAACTTTTCACTTTATTGCTCAAGCCATTAAACCCCAAGCGAACGCCGGCGTTCGCGTACCGATTGTTCTTCTTTTTTGGCTCGAATTACCACAACTGGAAGGTTAATTTCAGTGTCATAAGTAATTTTGACAAATAGTACAGCATGTTTATTTTTAAACGTAATAAACTTTACTCAGTACATTATCGAATTCATTAAAGTTTTAACTGTAACTAGCTTGTATAATATGAGATTACTGTCTTGCAATATCCAAGTGCCTAATTCTAGAGCACTTTTTAAGTTTTAACACTGCCCGTAACCACGTTTTAAAAAATATATGAGTTGTTTTAGCAGAAAATATTGCATTATTACATTTTTAGTTTGGCAACCCTTATTTTGTATTTTATATAGCAACACAGACTTTCAGGATGTCTTCCAATATTTTCAGCTTAGTATGGTATCATCTTTCGAACGTAGCCTGGCGTTTTCTTGTGAGATGTATGAACCTAATTTTAATGATTTTGGATATAGATTCACCCGTAGATAGTTTAATAAATATTAAAAATAATGCAGAACAAATAAAATGTCACACAATGTAATTGATAGTATTAAAACACTGCGTTTTGTTTCGAATTGTTTGTTTCTATCGAATAGTAAAATATGTTGGGCATGTGTCTTTCACATAATTGATTTTAAATGTAACATATTTAAATAAATATTTATATACATTAATAAATTTTGTTACAAAATTTATTTTTATCTTTTATTTTAAAGTCACCTGAAAAGTATGGTTTTTATCGGCAACTAAAAGTTTAAAATACCGTCTCTAACTTTTGTTTCCAATTTCTGCCGTGTTGTGCGCTGCGGTCGTTATCTGTCCGCCACTACTCGCTTTGCACATCTATACTAATATTATAAAGAGGTAAAATTTGTAAGTTTGTATGTAGGGGATAATCTTTGGAACCGCTGGTCGGATTGACAAAATTCTTTCACTGATAGATAGCTACAATGTTCCTGAGTGCTATAGGCTATAAAACATCACGCTACGATTAAATGGAGCCGAGCAGCGGGTGAAACCGCGCGAGAGTAGCTAGTAGCCAATATAAGTGACACTAGCTACAATGGACGTAGCTGACTACGTTAAAAACACGACATGTGCTACGGCGTAGCATCAATAATGACATTAGTAGACTGTAACGTCATCAGTAGTTAATAAATAATAATAAGCCCGCAGGGCACCTTGAGGCGAGGTGACGGGAATTAGCGATCCCGCGGGCTACCATCATCCCGATTGCTCCAGGGAGGAGTCACCGTTCCTTATCTCCAGCTTGCCTTCATTGGTTGGCCGGAGTGAACGATGACGAGGAATAGGTCTCCCACCTCTGGCTTGCCTTCATTGGCCGTCCAGAGTGGAGTCGCGAGAGTAGTGATCCTGCTCGGAGGGTGGAAGCTGTTCGTAAGCGGCGAGTGGGCCAGTGATGCAGGATGCTTAGGCAGATGCAGATGATCTGAGTAGAAAGCTGGTGGCAGTTTCTTCACCCTTCAGCCACTCACATTTCCGTTGTCCCTCTGTTGCTATTACTAGCAACCATTCCCGGGGGCCCGGTCGGTGAGTTGGCGAGTCTCCACCTGCCATTTTTACGTGTATTTATTACATTGTTTCGGCAGGTGCCATAGTCCTTCCATAGTTCCCATCATACCAGTCCATAACAACCCACACCCATAGTCTTATCCCTTGTTTCCATTATCCGCAATAGTCCTACACTAACCGGAGACTGTCCTTGGGTGCATTTCCATAGTGCATACAGGGATAGTCGCCGGTTAGTGTCCCATTTCATTTAGATTAAAGTTGTCTAAAGGGCCTCTGCGCAGTTGGCTCCGGCCCCTCGTACGCCTTCCAAATGACCGGGACCCTGTGGTCCCGTGATTGGTAAAGACATACAAATAATAATAATAAAAATTGTTTATTTCATTACCATAGAGACAAAAACAAGTTAGTGATTGGAACCTTTTTGTAAGCAAAAAATGCATGTATTAGGAGATTAGTAGTTCATAACGTAAAAATGAAATCAGTTATAAATTATTTAGTAGGTACCTACATTATCGGGCGCGGCGGCGTCTTGCCTTTTTATTTTTCATACTCAAAATGATATATAAAGCAGCTAGGTACACAGTCGGTATTGGCGCATATGGAAAATATCGCCAAACTTGAGTGAATGAAATGAGAAAAGCTTTAAGTACCTACCAGTTTCAAGTCACAACCGGAATCCTATTTATGATTCTTCAAACGTTAAGTTATTTAGGAGCGTTTACGCGACTCGAGTATCCATATATCATTTTTAATCTACAATAATGCAAACTAGCCTTTATTAATGACACTAGGTATAAACATGAAAGTTTGTATGAAAACCCGTGCTACGTAAACGCAAGTAAGCTTAAACTGCGAGCGAAATTGGGAAGCCGCTCTTTCTGCGAAGCAATGATGCTCCCTAAGAACCAGGTGGAGCGCGTGAGGGAACTATCCCCCTCATGCTCAAACCATCTCATTGGAGACACTCCTGGCTTTGGGGATCGCATGACGATCTCCGGTCACCACCGTAACAACTATCTTTGACTTTGAAACATAGCCATCAGCGCGTGCCTCAAAAAGTTATCAGACCACGACAGATGGGGCCCAACAGAGCACATGTTCAGCCAGGGTTGAAACAATGAAACAATGAATTTATTTTTGCAAATAGGCCATAAAACGGTAACGGTACTTTTACACGTCAATTTATATGTGGAAAACTAGATGAAGCCGGCATTTCCTATCTGACTACTCGCGGTTGCGTAAGTATCAAGCAGGCCTCTAGCAGCAGATGGAACGGGATGATTTTTAGTCGGTAAGAGACCTACTCTCTCTCGCCTCGCCCATATTGAGAGAAATTTTTCCCCTCAAAAAAATAACTACCCAGGCACGAAGTAATTAGGAATAATGCCAGATGTTGTATGTCTCTAAGCATCAAAATATAAAACGCACAGCTAGTTGTGTCTTATTTCCGCTATAAGATACTCAATATTACCAGTAAACACTAACTGCATAAATACTTAAATATTCACCATCTGGCAAAGCGTTGCGATGTCGTACCTATTCAAATGACTTATATGTCTAGGAAACAAGGAAACAATGGGTGCGCTTTATTAAAGGTAACAGATGCAGGTTCGAAGCGCGATCGGTATGTTCCGCAGTAAGTGCGCAAGTGTTCGTTAAAAGGTTTCGCGAGCCACCGTGTTATTAAATACGACATTTGTATTATGTCTCGAGTATTTATATCTAAAGGTAATTATAAAATTACAGAGTATAAGTAGGATTTAAAAATAAACCCATCTTTTCACCTTTGTTTCATTGTGAGTTTTATTTAAATCTTGACGTGGAAAAGTGTTACTTAGGTAGGTACTTTCTTTCTAACTGTAATGTAAGCAAAATAATGATATAATTATGACATCATGACCACTTGAAACTTGATTTTAGTAATATTTACTCCAAGTTTCCCAATTACCTGGATACGAAAGTACCTACTAGATACATAATTATCTACCTATCACCTACTTAGGTCTACTTATTTGTATAAGTACCTAAGTCATACACTTTATATATTTTTTAAATTTCCATCTCAATCAATACAAATGCAATTATTTCAACCAAAGCATTCCGATTAATTAATTTTTCCATGTAACAATCTCGGTTCGGAGCGCAAGTTTTTTCCTCAATTTGCCAGCAGCCTTTCGCCCCTCCATTACAAAGTTCTCAGCTTCATTAGAGGATTTAAAACGCAAATTTCCTTTTCGATTGTAACTTTTTTCTACTTCTTGAAAGGAACCTTCTTTTAAAGTTGAAAGAAAATTAGTATCCTCCCCTTTGAGGGGCGCGGACGTCTTTTAAGAGTTTCATCAGGATACTCGACTTAATCTGCTAGAATAATAATGTTTCCGCTCGTGAATACTCGGTCAATTACTTGAAAATATTGTAGGTACGTTCTCGTTTCCTTTTATATATTATAATGCACTATCATAATGATATTATGTTTGTGTTTATCAATCAATTTCCTTCGGAGGATGGTTTTGAACATCTCAGTAAAACACTTATAATTATACTTAGGTATGTCGTAGGTAGGTATTTTACGTGTTACCTTAGTCGGTCTTACCTAGAAAATTATTTGTTTTTCTTCCGAGAGATTCATTACGCCATTAAGCCAAAAATTAGGTCCACTTATACAGGTAAGCACTGAAATTACCATGAATTTACTTTTCTTAACCTAAATTAAATATATTTTATAGTAGGCCTACTATAAAATATATTTAATTTAGGTTAATTTAGGTTTAAAATATGGATGCAAATACCGGTATTTGCATCCATATTTTATGTTAGGTACTTATAGGAAGATAATGTAAAAATTGGCCATTTTTTTTTGAGAAGGTGCAGGTATAGACTTAAGAGAGACTTAAGACTTAAGGTAGATACTTAATTTATATTTTAATAGGAAATAGGAAATGGTAGGTACCTACTTGGCATCTACAGATACATCTACGTAAAATAATTTACTTAGATAAAAACAAACACGATAATACCGCACGCAGATTTCCTTTCTACGCACGCTAAACACATTACTGCGAATTATCCACTAACAAGCTAACAATGAGAGGCTTATCATCACCGCAAGAGCCTATTACTGTCTGGAGAGCATCCCCGCCCCTTCTTACGACGTCACTAGCCCCTGTTACCTTGTCACACTAACGTTCCCTCACGTAAAGCAAACAATACGAGGGAACGACACTACCGACGTACTGCGACAGGGTTGTAAAACTTCTCAACAGAATAATTTCATACAATGTGTACACAATAGAAGCGATTATACTCTCCCCCGCGACATGATTTTATTTGTGCAGTTATTGCGTCGCCGAAAAGATATTTAAATTTCATTAGGTTTGTTTTACACTTAATTTGTGAGGGGAGTGTTGTATTGTATCGTAGGGGTGGGGCCCCGTTATTGCTACATTCGTGTTGCCCTCTGTATTCCGACGGCGATTTGAATTTAAGTAGATATATGAATCAGATAGTCACCCTATTACAGCGTTATCTAGCTATTGATCACTTTTAAACTAAAGATTAGTGCGTTAACAACTGCCGTGGAAGTTTCGTATATCATAGACAATGGAACAGATTAATAAAATATGAGTGTCATAGTTTTTTTTTTCGTTGTTGTTTTAATAATAAACGGGTGTAAAGCGCTGATCCAGGGTCGCCTCGCCGCTCGTAATGGAGTGGGTAGGTGGCCAGCTACCCACTACTGGTCTAAGTGGGGATATTTCGCAGACGCAGACTCCATTAGTGGTGTTCGCCGGACTGTCACAATCATTTTTCTTTCCCGCCGCCGCTAATTCTCAACCGCGCTTCGCTGGGCAACTACGCCGATCACTGTGTTTGATACTTTGACAACTTATTTATGGAGCTTTAAAATTCATATAATTGGAAATAAATTTTATAAAAATCTAAAAAAAAAAAATTAAATATTTTAAAAATAAATAAATTGCACATTAGGTTTAGTTACAGAATTTTTCTGAAATGTTGAATCTCTGTTCTGAATTTTGAATATTTCTTTTATTTTTCGCTTTGTACTATTCAATAGGTATGTTGACTTATTATTGATACCAATTACTGATTGACTGCACAGTTGGCGTAGTGTTTCGGCAACTGGCTGCTGTGCAACGTGTCG